ATCCCCAAATGGCGACGAGGGGTTGCTTCCTCCCTGGGCATTGCACGCAATCCATCGGGATCGGAAAAATCGCCGGATGAAAGAAGCAGAGCACTTTCCGAGTCGATGACTCCAGTACGGCTGGAACTATCCATCAGGCGAGGTGGAAGGTGGGAAGGGTAATAGCCTTAGCCTGAGGTAGGTTAGTGGAGAGTGTTCAACAATGGTTGGTGTTGATGAAGGGGGAGAAACAAGAGCCAGCGGCCAACCTGACCGCCTGACCGCCTGGGCAGTATCCACTTTGCCCAGCCTGCAAACTATGCAAATGGTGCAAACGCTGCAACTGCCTCCCTATCTCAAATGCATCATTACTAGAGTGTTGCCTGGTTGCCTGGTTAGACAGGACTGACAGAGGCGCTTTGCATCTCATGATATGTGACACATTCCACATGTAGATCAATCACCACTCTCACTTATGGTACTCACGGTATTCTATGTGCACTACCGATTACATCCAGTATGTGCCTCATCTCTACGTCATCATGCTTGGCATGCCCTGATAAATATAATCTATCTATCTTCCCTCCTTGAGTTGTTCGGCTCCCCTCTGAGCACAGCAGTCAATTGCGCCAGGTTTAGTCGACCCCGAGGAGAGCAGAACAATGTCAGACATTGCAAATTACAGTGTATGCTATCTGATCCCCTTGGAAATGGCCATAGCTAAAAGTGCCCCAGGTCCACCTCCCCGATCGTCTATTAGAGGAGATCAAGATAAAACTGCAATACGCTCGGCTGGATGAGGGCATGGCCGAGGTGGAGTGGAATGACCTTGAGATAGGACATGCCAATTTCAAAAGACTGGTGGAATACTGGCGCGATGAGTACGACTGGCGCAAGTTTGAGGCCTATGTCAACAACTCCTTTCACCACTTTCAGACTCCCCTCCCAGTAAGTGGGTTTGAGGATATTAACCTTCATTTTCTTCACCATCGATCTTCAAGACCCGGGGCTATACCATTGATCTTTGTCCACGGCTGGTAGATTCAACTTCTATGAGGTATCCTAGCGTTCCGAACTAACATGCACCACACAGGCCTGGGTCCTTTCTGGAAGCCTGCAAAATTATTCCATTGTTGACCGAGCCAAAGGAGGGCCAGCAGGCATTTCATGTGGTGGCGCCGTCGCTGCCCGGGTACGGTTTCAGCTCTTACACGAAGAAGAGCGGTTTCGGTCTCGAGCAACACGCAGAATGTCTAGCCCGCTTGATGAAAAAACTTGGATACCACCAATATGTGTGCCAGGTACGCATCGTGGACTTGGTAGTTCTTAGATATGGAAATTTCTGAGGCATGCAGGGGGGTGATTGGGGCTCATCGATTGTGCGCTACATGGCGCTGAACCACTCCAACGCAGTGCGGGCCATCCACATCAATATGTTGCTGGCCTTGCCCCCGGATGAGCATAAGTCACCGGAAAAGTACGCCAGATACAGCCGAAATGAGTATAGCGAGCAAGAAATCCGCAATTTGGAGCGGACACATTGGTTTTCGACCGAAGAGGTGAGATCCGATCATCCTGTATTCCACAGAGCCTGTCTCCTCACTCAGATTTGACCAGAGAGGCTATCAACGCATCCAAGAGACCCAGCCAGTCACACTGGGATATGCCTTGCATGATTCGCCGGTGGCTATTCTGGCCTGGTTTGTCGGCAAGCTGAGCGCATGGACGGATGACTATCCTTGGACACCCGACGAGCTCATCCACTGGTCACTCATTCACTATCAAGGGAGTCCCAGTGCGGCCATGCAGATCTATAAAGAGGCGTCTGCTGTGTTGAATGCGAGCCCGGATAGTATGCTCGGCCAATACATTTGTCAGCCTGTCGGCGCCTCCGTCTTTCCCAAGGAGGTGAGCCGCTCCCCCTCTTGTAGATCGATGTACTGGGTGACTGACATGATGGTGTATAGCTGTGGATTGCACCACGAGACTGGGTGAAGGAAGCGTGCAACGTCCAATTCTGGAGACATCACAGACGTGGTGGTCATTTTGCTGCCTGGGAATGTCCCCAGGCGCTGGTGGACGACGTAGCGGAATTCTACCGAGAGGACGGACCGGTATTCGGTGGTAGAAAGTCGCCCATCACCTAGATTGCAACAATTCCAAGGAACATGCATGGCTATCTTCATTGATTGCCCAATTCATACTTCTTTCGAAGCCCGGGCTGAGAATGATCTGCGTCTTCGCGGCTCGGTCGCTAGAACTATGGTCTGACCCGTACAGATTCCGGACTTCAAACCCTTTGTATGATTCCCTGTCGAGAAAGTGCATTACCGGCCAGTATAGGTAGAAGGGGCACAGATGTGAACCACCCTCTAATTGGTTGAATCAGCATCCTCTAATCGATCCTGCCGTCATCGAACTACGCGTCTTCTGCTCCGCGCATAAGCACGTCAAAGAAGGCAGTATCAAAACCTTGGAAGACCCAATCGTCGATGCTGGCGGCCGCATCCGGGAACATGTGATCTTTCTCCGATACCTCATCGGGGATTCTTCCGGGCAAAAGCTGCGTGGTATGTTGTTGCGGCAAAGAATCACTTGGGGCCTGTGTTCTAGCTCCTTGTGGTGGGATATATGACGTGCTATTGACTGAAGATTGGCCAGGAACCGTAGAAGGTTCAATTTGAATCGAACCAATGCCTCCAATCGTGACTCCCGCGTGATGGCCTTGATCTTGCCCTGTTTCGGAATATGGCACAGATGTGATGCCTTCAGGTGCAATTCTGATCGCACCGAGATATGGCACTCTGATGACTAACGCGTTAGGATTATTGGTCGGCTGATATTCTGACGACTGTGTCTCGTCTGCGTCGGTCTTGTATCCTCGTGCTGCCCTGGCTTCAATAGACAACAGATTCTTCAGCAAGGCAGCACATTCTGCGGCGAGGACATCCTCGTGTAACTCTGACATGGAATGCATGCATTCTAGAGCCCGCTCCACGGTGGCCCTATCGCTCGATCGCTGGTGTGCGAGCAGCCTATTGACCTCCGTCTGGCCATGACTTGCGAGGTGTGCGAGGATCAAAGTCATTCCAGCAATCAGCGCCATGAAGTCGCCTATCCGACAACAGGCGGTTACTGGGTTGAAAGTACGGATTGCTATCTCGCGAGTCAATATCTCGCGGCTAGCATTCGCACACGCGATTCCCGAGTAAACCACATCGGCGGTTTGGCTCTGGCACAACATGTACGGTAAATGAAGTTGGTTGACCACGGTATAGTAACACATGTGGTCCCATGCTCGCCGGGTTTCGCAAAATGCCTCCACTGAATCGACTTCCAGACCTGCGAAAGCAATTGGCTGCCAGAACGAGGAGGGCAATTGCTCGGTCATCCTAATGAGTTCTCGATCGATGTCCCGCGTCATTCCCTGCGCCTGTTGGGGGACTCTGACCTGATTTCGTTCCAGAATCCTGGCCGTGATCTGCATGATTAGTGATGACAGATTGCCACTCATCTGCGAAGAATTCTTGTTCCCTGACGTTGTGGGGCTTGTCCCGACAGTACTCGTGGGTAGGCCCAACAGCAAGGACAAGACACGCTCCATGGAGATGATACAGATCCACATGACATTGGGGTCGAGGTCGTTCTTGTCATTGATCTTCTTGAAGCGATAATGACCGGGTTGATGCAACCCCAAGAGTTGCGCCGTAGTGGCAGCACGACGGATTGCTAACCAGGCACGCCGAATGTTTCCGCTGTCTATATGAAAGAATCCCTCCAGAATGATGTTTTCCAGACCTTCCAATGTACCCATCAAGCAATCATTAGTAGTGACCATGGCAATGGCCGACTCCGCGAGTTCCTCCATGATGACATGGTGATGTTGATCAAGACCCGAGATAACCTCAGTGGGAGAAGTATGCTGCAATGCTGCTGCTAGAAGTAGCATTTGCCTTGCTAGCAAGACCGGATGGGCTTCTGGGTGTTGTAAGCTGGGGATTACAATTTGTTCCAGTGGCAGGTCTTGAAGCGACGAACTTTTTAATTTGAAGCCGGACTGATAGCACAAAGTGGAAAGTCTCGAGACCTTTCCTAGCAGAATCTCGACCTCTCTTGGAGAGGGAAGCGCACGCAGAAGAGCTTGGGTAATCTTTGAATGTCTTGTAGTCTGTGTGGCAGTTCTCGCGTGATCGGAGGGTGGTGATAGGCCCCGGGTTAGGACCAGGTCTGGCGATTGCAGAGCAAATTGACTGACACATTTGGTGCCCCGGCGGCCGCATGAGATACAGCTATCATCGTCCGGGGCAGCAAAAGTGCATTTGACTTTTCTTCGACGGCACTCTCGGCAACAGTGAGTTCCTTTTCGCACCTTCCTCCGCTTTGCTGCACTTTCGTCCGAAGCCGCACTCATTTTGGCAGTCGTTATAGTTAGAGAAGGAATGTGTTGAGAAGGAGAGGAGAGGAGGAGAGAGCGAGAGATAACGAGGGTTCGGCCGAAGTGGCTGACTCATCACCCCCGCCCCTGCGAGTTCGGCCGAATCGGTCTTGATATTATATGGTTAGATGGTCTATATGACAGATATGATACACTCATAGTAAGCGAAGTCGTGCGCAAAACCCATGGTCCGAATGCAGTCCGCAGATTCCAACGGCAACGGTATCAGAATAGCATCGCTGCTCCGCATGTATGCATAATCAAATCCCGTCCCCGAGAGTAATAGCAATCGTTCCCCATGAAACTAGGGGTAGTTTCAAGCCGTATAATCTCCTCACTGGACACGCCCTACTTTAGAAGACACGATGAGAGGTGACGGGATCAACTGTAGGAATTTCTGCATTCCTAAGGGGGTGCTCGTGTTCGGCCGACGCGGCTGACAAACGGTGGATTTGAAGAGATTCGGACGAGGTATCTGCTTACTGAAGCCGAATTAGGTCATATAGCAGGGAGACTACATTTACATAAATCTCGTGGGTTTTGTCTTGGTGCGTAAGCTAAGTCCAATTTTCACACAAGCATCACAATGACAGAGCGCACACCTTTCGCACCAGAAAAGCCAACGGGCACTCAAGACTCTCCACCGGGGTCGAACACGACAGTGGCATCACTCTCTACACCCAGTGCCACCAAACTCCAAGCCATCGACGCGCAAGCCCCGGTCAATGATGGCTATCCGCACGGTACTCGCTTGGCTGCCATTGTTCTCTCACTCCTGCTGGTCATGTTTCTGGTGTCTCTTGATAACGTGCGTTGACAGGCCTCATGACGCAGGGCAGAGCTAATTGAGATTGGTGCTAGACCATTCTTGGAACCGCTATCCCTAAAATCACCGATCAATTCCATGACCTGAACAAGGTTTCATGGTACGGAGCGGTATACTTCATGACCTTTGGCGGTGGTGTGTGATGACGGTGCGAGTTGCCCACGCCAAGCTGACAGTCCGCAGAGACCATGAACTTTTTCTTGATCTATAGACCGTTCTCAAGGATTGGTCGCAACATTTTGACGCACTTTGACGGCTAATACTTTCAAGGGTTCCAATCGACCTGGGGAAAGGTCTATAAGTTCCTTCCCATCAAACTTTGGTTCCTTATCGGCTTGTTCATTTTTGAGCTGGGAAGCCTCCTTTGTGGAGTCGCCCCAGATCCCACAGCTCTGATAGTGGGCCGGGCAATTGCAGGGTTGGGCGGAGCTGGGGTGACGGTGGGAATCTTCACCATACTTGGATTTGCCGCCCCTCCTGAAAAGCGTCCGCAGTTGTTAGGGTATACCGGCGCCACATACGGAATCGCTGCCGTTCTCGGTCCCCTTATCGGAGGCGCCTTTACCGATCAGGTGACATGGCGCTGGGTAGGGTCATGAATCTTGCCTCCAGTTTCCCTTCTGATTGCTGACCCCGTTCTAGTGCTTCTACGTTAACCTACCCATTGGGGGGTTTGCGGCGGTGATTATCCTCGTATTCTTCCAGGCCCCGGCCAATGCAATGCCCGCGCGAGCCACTCTGCGCGAAAAGTTGTTGCACATGGACTTTGTCGGTGCCGCTCTCGTGATGGGATTGATCATCTCATATATCTTAGCACTGCAGTATGGTGGTCAAACACATTCCTGGAAGAGTAGCGTCGTGGTCGGCTTGCTGGTCGGTTTCGTTCTCATTCTGGGGGTCTTCATCACATGGGAAATCCACCAAAGAGAGCATGGAATGATAGTTCCGCGACTGGTAAGTCACAGTCCAGATGCGTCGTGGCTTGCAGGTGATCTAATTGCCGGGGTGGGCTTAGTTCATGCAACGCTACATCTTTGTCGGTTCCATCTTCATGTTCTTTTTCGGTGGCGCGTACTTCACAGTCTTGTATTATCTCCCCATCTACTTCCAAAGTGTCTACAACAGTAGTCCCATCGGATCCGGGGTCAAGATGCTTGCCCTCATCATTCCCTTGACGATTGCCGCCATTGTCCAAGGGGTCGCATTATCCAAGATCGGCATCGTGCCTTTATTCTGGGTGATTGGCGGCGCGATAGGAACCATCGGGTGCGGGCTCTTTTATACCATGGGCACCCACACTTCGACTGGCCAGTGGATTGGGTATCAGATCCTGGTGGGATTTCCGATTGGGTGGACATTTCAGGTCGCTCTTTCCAACGCACAGGTCCATGCGGCACCCGAGGACATGTCGCAAGTGGCGTCTATTGTGAATTGTAAGTCATCTCCTTCCTCACGCGACAATGTCTATCGAGAACGGTCGGCTGATTCCCACCGGTAGTCTTCGTGACCGTCGGCGGGTCTTTCTTCCTGTCCGCCGCACAATCCGCTTTCAACAATCAGCTGCTCCAGGTGGTTACCCGCCGACTCCCCGATCTGGATCCATCTGTGGTTCTGGGAATCGGGGCCACGCAGATTCGCCAAGCATTCCCATCCGCGCAAGTACCTGTCGTGATTGACGCATATGTGGTTGGGTTGAAGGCGGTCTTCGCCATCACATTGGCGGCTTTTGGCCTCAGCACAATCATTGCTTTCTTTGGTAGCTGGAAGAGACTGCATGGAGAGAGGTTGAACAAGGCTGCTGGAGGCGCAGTATGAGCCTCAGCTCGTTGCTTGGGTTGTTGAGACGTACGGTGGAGGTGGGGTGTGGGAGTTACGCGGCGGTAGATTTGATGGGGTGCGGGAGTCCGTGCACCAGGCCGGCAGAAATGCCCAGCGCAGTAGGCGGAAGAGGATCAACAACCACCCGGCAATCATGACGCCTAGTTAGGTAGTATGTATGGTGTACTTTCTACAACAGACATACCCTTTCGATAAGATGAACATTGCATTCTCAGATACTATTTGGCTCTGACATGGAATCAGTTGCATTGCGAGACCCATATATCACGCTGTCTGTGTCACGGGGCATTCAATTTTATCAGTAGAGCAACGAGCGGGCTCGCATTCAGGCGATGAAAGATGGATTGGCCGCCAGACCAACGCAGTAGTCTGAGCAATCGCCTGCTCAATGGCATCCACCAACTTGTCCACGTGCAGTCGGAGGGAGCAGGGGGATCCGTCACACTGGTGGCTACATTTGTTCTTCATTTGCAAGATGCGCCTCTCGATCTCAGCTACTGAGAAATTTTCGAAAGGGCCCAGTGATGGCCAGAGCCCGCAGTCTCTTAGCTCTTTGAAGTAGTGTGTTACTCGTAAAGCTCGTGTACACACTCTCTCCAACCGTTCGGCAGGGCAATTGGTGCAAAACATCTTACCCGCCGGGTAAGTGCTATCGCACCGTGTGCATAAGTTGTTATTCAGTCTGAAGGATCTCCGACAACTAGCAAGCACTACCTCGCCCTCTTGAAGGTGTTCGTGGATGGCCCGTAGCTGTTGGTGTATGTGGTGGTCTAGATTACCTTTTACGTCTCAAATTATCTGCCATTGTCTTGGTGTGGAGAACCTACTACAAACACTTGACGGAAGCAGGTCCAGAAGGTCTGCCTCCTCCCAGATGTCGGAAAACCGGGGAGGAAAGTAAATTTGAGCCTGGATATAAAGTATGGCATCATGGTCTTCGCAATGAAAGAGATACGCAGTGAGAAGAAGATAGCCATGATCCTCTGGCGTCTCCATATGAGAAAACCCGCCAAGCCAGTTCAAGATCCAAGGCCGGAGAGCACTGTTGCAGTCGAACTTGTCAGAAAGAACAGCGATGACGGCCAGCTGCTTCGCACTCCTAGAATCCCCAACTTCAGACCCTTGGAGATGAAGAGCTTGTAGAATCGTCCTCATCGCGCCCGGGCTATCCTCAGGTAGAGTTAGGGTCGGACGAGTCGAATTCTTCATCTGGTTCCCCACGCGGAACCCCCGATGTAAGGAGTTTTGCAAAGACGGGCGAGGCGAGAATCAGGATTTTTGATGAGACCAGGAATCGGCCCGAAGCTGCACCGGTGATCAGTAGTACCGCGTCCCCATCTGGATCCAGGGTCTCGAGGGGACACTCCCTGGCTGGAGATGGAGCACATTTTGAGATCTCGTCTGGCATGATGTATTATTGCGAGTGCCACGTGTATGCAGAGAACTGATGGTGATGGAAGTTGGATGAGAAATTGCAGGGCAGTGAGACCCTAGAGATGGCCTGATTTGACCTCATTTGGATACTTCCGGACATACCTCATCATGATCGGATGCAGTGTATAACGGAGCCAAAGGCCGGAAATCATGCATTTGCCCCGAACCCTTCACCGAATCGGCGGGTTGAGAAGCTTCGAGACAGTGCTAAATTTTGCTGTGCGATGATCCGAGCCAGCCATGAAATAGGCATGCCGATGGGTGCTGGTAGTTGTTTACAAGGCAGTTGTCGGCTTTCGCCGCCGGGCTGCCACATGATGCGATCACCCAATCATATGATAGCCCTGAATCCCTTGTTGTACTATTCTAGCCTCGTGTGTATATTTTCTGGGAAACCACAATAATTGAATAGTTCTTGCATTGGGGTAACATATTTTCTAATGATGCACCCGGCTGTTCCTCAGACCGGCGCCAAGTTATAGATCTTCTTGATGTCCCGCAGCGTCTCCTCAAAGTCAATCTCCAAGTCTCGGAGCAGGCCGGTCTCCATGTCAAAGATCCAGCCATGCACGACGGGGAACTGGTGCTCGTGGAAGCTCTGCTGCACGGCGGCAGTCTTGATGATATTGCGGCACGACTCGACGACATTCAACTCGATGAGGCGCTTGTAGCGGGCGGTCTCATCCTTGATTTCATCCAGCTCGCGCTCGTGCAGACGGTAGACATCCCTTATGTTGCGTAACCAAGGGTTGAGCAGGCCCAGGTCGGAGGGGCTCATGGCGGCCTTGACGCCGCCGCACTGGTAGTGGCCGCAGACGACAATGTGTTTGACGTGGAGGTGACGAACGGCGTAGTTGATGACGGACATGACGTTGAGATCGGTGTTGGGGACCAGGTTGGCAATGTTGCGGTGAACAAACACCTCCCCGGCCTCCAACCCCATGATCTCATTGGCGGGAACGCGACTGTCACTGCAGCCAATATATCTAGAAACCGGGAGGGGGTCCACAAGGTCAGTCTCCATGCTACTACCACCGTCCCTCAAACAGCTAGTCGGTCTGTCTCTTACAAATATTCCGGGGTCTGGCCAGCGTTGAGTTTCTCGAAGAAAGCGGGATCTTCCTGCTTCTTGGCGGCCACCCACGCCCGGTTGTTCTCAAACACCCGCTCATGGGAGTGTTTGAGATACTCGGGGACCGATTCTTGGGGGGTGTCTTTGGAAGAGCACATTGTTGTGATGATGTGATGTTAATTGCGACTGGGACTGCTGGGGGGGGGGGGAACCAAGAGGAGGAGGGGAAAGAGAGGAACTGCCACGTGTGTTCCGTTCCGTATGTGCCCCGCCCGCTGAACTACGGCGGCCCATTCCACCCTGCCACGCAGTTCCTGCCTTATCTTATCATCATCATTATCATCAGCAGCAGCAGCAGCAGCAGCAGCAGCAGCTCTCATTAATTCGCTCTATTGGGTATCATTTCTCTATCCAACAACAATCTAACACCAAATTCAACAACCAGCCTCCGTAATCTGGTATCCCGTTTTCGATGCGCGGTCATACACCACCCCAAAGACCTGCACATCGTGGTCATGTGCTTGACTCAACGACTGCACCTGGCCGAGGATGTTCAATTCGACCATGGCTCGGTCCCGTTCCTGACCACTGGTTTGGTCGAGTGCGTGGTTGTGCGCCGAACGAACCATGTCAAGGGTTCTGCTCCAAGGCTCCGGAACGCAAGGGTTGGGCTTCCCCTGAACAATGTGACAGCCGTAATGCCCGCATACGACAATATCCCGGATCTGCCACCCAATTGTTAGCCGCGTGAAGCGAAACGCCGATTCCCTCCCACTGACCTTGAGTTGCTCCAATGCATAGCCCAGCGTGGTCTGACACGAAAGGTCGTCGATCACCATATTCCCCAGATTGCGATACTCCAAGACCTGATCGGCCTGGAGACCCAGGGTCTCCAGCTCATCGTAATCACTATCCGAGCAGCCAATCCACAGCACCTGCTTGCCCGGGGCTCGCTGCCAGGGCATTGAGTTCGATTGCACCTGACGAAGCTCGTAGCGGGTGCGGACTTGGTCTCTCATGGTGTGAAGTGGTGCGGCGCGGGAGGGCACGAATTGGGGTCGAAGAAGTCGAGGGAAAGCCGCGGGACGAGAGCAGAACATCAGTAGAAATGTGTGCGAAAGATGTTTGATGCGGCGAGGTTGAAATGCTTGATGATCAAGAATGGTTCTTATACAGCTGGACATAGAGAGAGGTTGCCCCAGTACTCCCGTCGGGCAATGACTTGAAACACGCGCAACTATAAACGGATCGATCATCGATTGTCAACTTGGAAGGCCAAGTGGACTCGGCCGAAGCGGAGATATCTCGGTGGGCTCAAATCCCGGCCGTTATTTGATCGACCCTCCGCATGACAATACAATAATATGCAGGCAATTTCCGAGCTTCTCTCCATTTCCTCGTGTGTTATCGGCCGAAGGGTTGGCCATCATAGGAGCGGAGCGGGCTGAACTCCATGCCGAACAGTATGTTTGCCCCTGATCCAGACAATCTTTCGTCACAATTCTCGGGCCCGATCTCAGCACATTCGTTACTCGGCCGTACCCTCTCCGTCCGTGGCCAGATGAGTTATGCCGAAATTCAGCACTACGGACAATCCACAAGAACCCTCTGGATGGTTGACCTATAGTCTCCTGAACCATGACTCCAATACTCTGGCTTTCAATGACTATATTTGACTAGCCGGGGGCGAGTCTTGACGCGAGGCAGCGACAAAAGTCGATACTCCCGGGTTCGTCGAGGTACGTACTATGTACTATGTAGAAGAAGGCTCGGAGCGAAGGCCGAAGGAGGGCGGGTGGGGCTGAAGAAGAAAATGAATCAATACAGAAGAATGCAGGGGCCGAGAGTTCGGCCGGGACTGGAGCCATGGATTTATCGATCCATGGATCGGCCCCCCCTCCCGGTGGGTCAAGCAATCGCTTGAAGATTGATATCGTCCTTCTTACTGAGGGATCTGACACCGTTGTCGTCCACGCCGGTAATAAAGAGAAATGACGAAATACTTTCCTCTGCTACAGTATATAATGCTCATAAGTCAGAAACAGACCTAAAAGAACATAAGTTGATTCACATCCAAACACAGAATACGAACAACACTGACGATGGTATGCAATTTGACTCGGTGCTCAAATATGCCAGCCATTCACCATCCGAGTTGTGAGAGAGAGCAGGCTCAATAACCCCGGTCGCATCTGAAGAAAGACCTGCCACTCCCACAGTCCAGGCGATAGGAAACTCCTAAGTACATTCAACGAAGCCGCTGCTACTGCTGGCTCCAGTGTGAGTGATCACCCCCGCCAACTTGTCCGCTGTGTTGAAGATAACCCGATCGGCCCCAGGAGATCCCCCGTCATAGACGTCGCCATCGCTCAGGATCGGGAACTCATAGTAGGTCCCCGAGACACTGAAGTCGAAGCCCTCATAGTCATGGTAGACATGCGGGTAGTCGTTGAGGGTTTCACCCGACTTGTACAGCGAGTAGCCTTCCGCCTGCGCCGCACTCACCGCACTGGAGGTGTAGCAGTGGCTTCCACAAGTATAGGCACAGCTGGCACGTTCGACCTTCTCCTTCGGGAAGGGGGAGGCCAGTGCGGCGGAGAGGAGGAGAGGGAGGCACGCGAGTGCGGTCTATTCGGCTTGAGTCAGTATGTCCACATCACCCACGTCGAGTGTCAATCGAAAGGTAATGTCTCCCACCTGCAACTGAAACATCATGTCTGGCTGGCCTGCCGGATCGCTCGCTGATCTGGGGAGGAGGGAGGAGGGATGTCACTGCAAGTGTGAGGCTGATATCTCTTCACCCCTAGCAATCACAGACTATTTATGTCGTCGTCGGCGCCGTCTTCATCGTAGTCGTTGCCGTCCATACTCCTCGTTCTCCTCATCGGCCATCTCCTATCACCGACCTGCAAGACAAGCAACCAGCATTTCGACTAAAGTGGGTGATAAGATAAACCCCATGCCAAGAAGGGGCCAAGACCAGCCAAGGCGGGCACGTTGTCGAATCCGCAAGCATGAAGAGTTCTCTCACATCAATCCAAATTGATATAGATTGATATAGATTGATATAGATTGATATAGATTGATATAGATTGATATAGATTGGGTGCCTGTGAATCTTCACCGCGTCCGGTCCTCGCGGCAGTTTCGTCATCCTGACACTCCGCCGGAGATCCTTCCCTGCACCCAATCGACGATAACGACCCAAGCATGTGACGGTGTGCTGGCAGATGTGATGATTCAGCCGGTTGGAGGAGCATGCAGCCTAAGTGCGACCTCGCCGTATCAGGGCCTATACCTGAGCACGTGGTTGAGCTCCAGCACCGGTCCTTACAGATGTTCGGCTTTATCTATGAAGTACAATATGAGGCATTGTGCACCGGTGTGATGGACTGCCAACTGGTATGTTGGCCGGGGGCACAAGATAAGAAGGTACTGACTCACGTAGATCATCAATCATCCAGGGCCTTACAGACATGAAGTGAAAAATTGCGGCCAAAGTGTGTTCTCTTCCACTGTTTTCCATTGAGCCTCAAGCTGAGCAACGCGCGCCGTCTCGTCCACTTGAACCGAATTCATGCCCAGGGCCCGGTTGAACTGCGAAGCTCCAGTAACTCTTGTTGACCTCGCGTATCGAAACCCTACCATCGAATTTTGAGACAGATTGTCACCGAGACCTACTGGGCGCGACGCCCCCGACCAGGTTGTGCGCGCGTTGCAGCATGATTGATGACGTCATCATTGTCTGTTGCTGCTGCTGCAGTCGCATCTACGCCAAGGCCAGGATCTATTGCATTACCGGCACAGTTTGCGTGTAGATCGCCGCTCGACGCTTAGCGAATGCATTAAACTCCGTTACATCACCTCTAGCATAGACCACGGTCTACAGGTTTCACATTCGGGGCGAGTATATATCGCAGCAAGTGGAGGGGAGGTTCAAATCTACTGACGAATTGAAGTTGTCGAGGGTTGATGAGGTTACTTCATAATACCAGCAAAACACTGGGCACAGATACTGGCTGGTTGATGCCGTTCATGTTGTAGGTAGCAGTAGACTCTACTTTGAGGGTGGCGGAAAAGCACTGCCTGGACATCAACCCATTCACTACGGAATACTTCGTGCTGTCAGCCGAGCTTCGAAGACGAGACGTATCTATGTCTTATTGCCACCGTTGAGAGATTTGTTGAAAGCATTTGTGGTGACAGGTGGGCTGGACTGTGCGCATAAGTCGGCATAAATTACATAAGCATCCCCACAGTGCCGCTTATGCAGTTTCGGGCTTAGCTCGAATACTATCCTTGATCCAACCATAATGGTTTCAACTTGGGAAAAAAAGGAAGTGGCAAAAGGACAGTAGGCGCTTGGGACTCCGACTCATGTTAGGATTATTCGGCTCACAGTGGTTGTATATGGACTTTCCAGCAGATCTACCTTCGCGCGCCCTATGTTGTGCCGCGATATGTATCCAAAATCTCTCACTGCTTGCTGACCAACCTGGCTCTTCAAGATGTTGTGCATGTCTTCCAATCAACATAGTATGCACCAAACGTGCCCAGGAGTCCTCAGTATGAGGGAAATTGAGATAGGTTCATGCCGTATCGACAGTCGATTCTCTCGTATTGCATCCTTGGTAACATCGATGAATCCTCGGCAATCGACTTATCTTCGCCACTGAAATTGCCAAATCCGGCCAGCTCGAAGGCAACCAGGGAAAAAATGCCATTCCCCAACAATACATTGACGAAACGAGCTAGAGCTTCCTCGTATGATGAAGCTCGCATGATGTCAGTCAGTGTCAGCCTTTGCTGTACAATGCTCGAAAGGTATAAAAACCCAGGGACTTCACACCTCCGACAGCCAACCGAAGTACCTGCCCGATTACTCACCCTGCATCCGATGAAGGCTTCACCATCTGCTGGGTAACTCCTCCAAGATATATTGTGACCACAACCACACTATCGCAACCCTGGCCAGTGATCCTTAACAATGAAACTGACGACCCTGGCTATCACATTCCTTCTAGGCACATCCACCACTGCTGCCGCCTGGGAGCTTCGCGCCAACGGTCAGAAATGGACAGGCACCAACCCTCAGCGCTGCACCGCTGTCAACATCCCCAAGGGCGCGAAAATTAGCTGGTCGGGATCATCGGGCGCTCGGACACTGCAAGTGTACAACATGAAAGGAAGTTGTTCGCAGGTATATCGAACCGTGCAAGGGGTGGGTGATATCAATGCCTCGAACAACATTTACGGATTTGTGGTGAAGGCTTGATGGAAAAGATGCAACCAAATGTTAGAGCATTGTATCAAGTTCATTGGATATGAGTAGGAGCTATTTAGTAATGGAAGTTGTAGCACAATTGTCAACAGCCCCAGGCGAAGGCACAGAGCAATAACGAAACATGGAGATGCAATAAATTGGATAGATGCCATGGAAACCCTTATCGAGGCTTTCCTAGTACAAAGACAGGCACAACCGCGGCACCACACTGCCTCTGGGTAAGGCTCGTGCGGACTGCGAAATCTGGGGCTGATTATGCCAGCAAGTCATTCTACTCGGTGGTGATTGCCTCAATCGGACTCAAGAGAACACATCCAGCTTCTTTTCCTTGTGGAGAAAGATAATGTAGTAGATCTGCTGTGACGGCGAAATGTCTGACCATGCGCTCGTCACGTTCTTTGATCTCAGAAGGTCAACCTTTTGGGGCTTCTCTTTCGTGACCCAGTCATTATATTGCCTGTTGTCACTGTCGGCATTGTAAGCGTTGAGTATGATCTGCATCGGTTTGGAGGTCTCTGGACCCTGAAGTAGGTTTGTTGCCTTATCGATGAGCTCTCTTTCCGTGAGCTTTGTGTTGTCTGGAGTGCTTCCATGCTCCTGGTCTGGGTACTCCACCTTGTGCGCCATGTTAGGATCGATACCGTCGATCACGCTGACCAGGGACACTGTTTGTGATTGCTGTATTAATTCAGTCACTGGGATTAGACCAGGTGTCATCGAGAAGAGCTTGCAGTTGCAATCTAAAACTCACCTCGGTGATTCTCCAATAACGACAGTCTTTCACGGTCGCTGCCCATGCTGAAGGGCTGAAGAGACTCTTTAGCTTCGTTTGCCATCGGAGAGGGTCAAGAGCTCGGGCTTACTTTACTTTGAGCAAAGCACTGTATCTCCCCCGCGGGCCTCCCAAGTCAAGGCAGCATTCCCGACCGTCTGACCCTGGCTAGAGGTCTTTGTCTCACTAGTAGTGTTCGCATAATTCATGCCATAGCTCACTTGCGGCGCTGCGAAATTGAGCCCAGCAGCCTTGCGAGTCTCTTCCTTGGCTGCATCAAGTTGCTCAGTAGTCTTGACTTTGACATCCCTGCTGCTACGGAGAAACCCGCCCAGGATGACCTTGCTGGGGAACGCATCACCTGTAGTCCAAGCGCCTGCATATTTCGAGCCGCCGGAAAGGTGACCAGAGGGAATGGCTTACCGTAGTCATTGATGAACTTGATTTTGTCGTTCGCACTGTAGATGTTGTTGATGGCTTTCACGCACTCATCGGACAGCTGCAGGTACTCGGAGGATAGATCTAATGCCACGCGGGGAAACTATGACAATATCAGTGTATTAGACAACGTGGCTCTTGTGCAAGCAAACCTCTTACCTTGTAGGCCACTTTTAAAGTGAAATCTGTCTCTTGATCCAATTTCTCTTTTTTATAGGAGTTCTCCTCCGTCAGAGCAGCAGATGCTGAAAGCGATTTGCCGAAAGGGAGTCCGCTCCTGAACAGGGGGTGAAAGACGTCAGCACTGTGATACCAGATGGGACTCCACACATACGCATTGGCCTCGATGGCAGTGGAAGTAAACCCTTCTCTAGCCATGGACCGTTGGAAGGCAGTCCTCGTCTCCGTAACCGTGACCTTGGAGTCATCATCCACGTAGAAAGAGGGAACACCAGGAACGGTGTTCTGGGGAGGTTTCTTGTCAGTAAACAGCACGCCGGTATCGTCTTAAAGTTCTACGTACCAAGTATTCCTTCACAGGATCCTTCTTCGCTCCGTTGGTCTTGGCGGGAGCCTGAGAGCTTCCCGTCGCACTTCCCTGTGGCGAAGGAGTGGCTGGGACTTTCGCTACCTCGCCGAGCTGGGGAGAGAGTGCCCCCGCTGGACGACGAATTGCGAAGGCTATTTCTGTTAGTGGATACCTACCCTCTACTACGACAACCAACGACGGTGTAAGCGGAGGGCTGACATACCTCGCTTTGGGGCTTTGGCCACGAGTCCAGTCCCGGGGACATGCGTGTAACCATGGAGAATCCGGTTGTTGAACAAGATATTCTCCTATTGCATTTCCGTAAGATCGGCAGGTTCGGTGTAATCTTTGGTACTATGTTGTTTTGGAACCAGTCAGTCGTCATACGCCTGCATGCTAGCGATGATCTCATCTGAACCAGCCTAGGTGACGTTGCATAGCTCTGCTCCAGGGATGACAGCTTGCCCATCATTTCCGCGATCTTTCCGAGCTGACCAGTATTCAATCCTGAGCCCGAGGCCCCGAGTAAGCCTTCGAGATCAGATGCTAAATTGGATTGGGGTAAATTCTCTCGTGGTTCCTTGGCCAACACCGTGGACACGAGATGGACTATGACAAAAGGAACGCCCTTTATCTGCGGCTTATTCTCGATGTCAGAGGCCGCAGTTACCTCTGCATTCTCTCTCGGCTTCGCTTCGGGATACAGAGTTGCAAGATTCTAAGAGAGTGATGAGCTTGCCGAGCGACAGGAGAGGAACTGGCCAACTGAAACAGCAGAGATAAAGATGTGACAGATATTCAAACATGTCAGACCACGCTCAGTGCGTTGAGGTCCCAGATTGATGACTTGGTGGTGAGGGTTCAGAAAGCAATTGAAGGCATACAGACCATCCAAGACACCTTTCGCCATTTGGGAGAGACGCTTGAGCCAGTCATCAAGGCCATCGACAAGATTGACAGGGGCACCAGCTCTCCATTGTTGGCTATCGGAGAATCCAATATTAGCCATGGTATCAAAGAAGCTGTGACCAAATATGACGAGGTACGTGTTGTTTGAACCATGGACCTGAACTAAGACGTCTTGCCTGAACTTGCATCACGGGTTCTTGATGGTTTGACAGGGCTAACGGAAACACTTTCAGATTATCAAACAGGCCGAAGACTTTGCGAAAGCAGCTCAGATCAAGGTACTTGAGGAGTAGACATGTTCTTCCTCTGGGGTTACACATATCGCTCTGCGGCCCTTTCTTCCGACAATCTATCATACTGAATCCTCAGATCATCCTGTCGCTTTCTGGAATATGCACTCTGCCTTACACCTGTACTGTGTCGCTGTGACTCTACGAAATCTTCATTGAATGTTCATTGCTTCAAAGAAGGACTACAAGGATAGAGTGAAACATTGATAGTATTTAAAATCACAGTGGCGGGATTTCTACATATATTGGAATATCCAAGGCTACCTCACTGAGAAGCATCCTACTATGTAATCGAAGAAAAGGAAGCTTCAACAAGAGCAGTGAGGCTTATAACCGCCCGCTAGCAACACCGGTGCCCTTGACGATATGCAAAACATGCCTGAAATCATCAAAGTCTTGGAATATCTTGTGCTGAGGTCTATGGGTTGCTCGTTCTCAATGCTTCCACCGAGGCGTAGCGCTGTACATCTCAGATAATCGATCCAACCATTCATCCGTTTGACGATTCCAAGCGTAGTCAATAAGACGCATGTCATACAAATCTAAAGATATCCATCGAGCATTTCTAACGATTAATCCGCCGACGCCGACAACTTGAAGCCCCCGGTACAGCCTGTCTGAAATAGACCGTCTGGGTCATACTGCTGGCCTATTTTCCTCAGGAACTCCAAGTTCTGCTCGCCGTACCCTACCAATGGACGCTGCCAGTTTTCGCAGTAGTTCAAGTACCGGTAAGGATGGCTCCTGCCATTGGCTTCAGCGATAGCGTTTATCTTGGCCAGAATCCCACGGACCACCGAGTAAACATACTCGTCGTTATGTGCACCGTCCCAGTCAATTGACATATTAATGATGATTAGTGGCTCGTTTGTGCTCTCGTGGACACCGATGACATTGGGGTCGCCCTTTGCGGTCCACGAGGGCAGCAAAGGCTGCATGACCATTGTCCACATAGACCCCTCCACCTTGCGCAGGGACGCTGTTGCCTCTCGAAAAACGTCGTGGGCGGCCATGATGGTAGCCAGGTCATTCTTGATCGTGGTAGTCCCGAACGAGCTTCGCTTACTGGGCCAACAGCCTCGGTTGACCTCCTCGACAGCGGAAGTGACGGATTGCACCTTGTGGGTGCTCCAGTATCTCCACAGGGCGGAGAAGCCAGAACGTTGCCAAAAGGCCGGCCATTTTTTCGGGGATTCTGGTGTCTTGGTATAGGCCAGCTGTAGAGCAAGCAGCCGCATACTGATGGGCTGAAGATAAACATCGCAGACAATGGCTCCCGCGGCATAACTATCCACCTCCGCACCGCTGCTCTTAGGATCCATCCGCTTGACGCTGTTATGAAGAGCCAGAAGAGCTTTGGTGCATTGCGAGCCGGGTGCATATATGTAACCGCTCCAGATGGGGCTCGAGGGAAAGCAGCGCACGGTGAATCTAGTGACGATGCCGAAGTTGTTGGAGCCACCCTTCAGTGCCCGCCAGAGTTCCGGATGGGAGCTCGCTGTGGCCGTGACTGTCTCCCCCGAGGCCAGCACAACCTCGTATGCAATGACATTTGAGCATGCTAATCCGTACCTGGGAGTGAAGAAGGAGATTCCGCCTGGTTGAATGTGTTAATACGTTGACAAGACGATGTGGTGATTGACTTATAATACCTCCTAACGTAAACCCGCCCACTCCGACATCGGCACTTCTGCCTCCCACCACCCCGAGATTCAATTCGTCCAAGGTGCGCGAGACATCGCCCCACCGGGATCCTGCTCCAATCACCACACTTTCTCGGTCCTCGGCGACCGTCACCTCGCGGAAGTGGGTGAGATCGATCAGGACGCCGCCTTTGGCACTTGCAGCTCCCGTCAGTGGGGATTGGCCTCCGCCTCGAACAGCAAACAGAGTGTTATCGGACAGCGCTCCGGAGCTTTGTCGCCGCTGATGCTCCTGCTTGAGGATTTGGATCGCGGTCGACACTTCTTGAGTGGTGCGTGGCTGGACAATGACCGCTTGAACCACGTCGCGCTCCTGTCGGGCGAAATAGGTGCTAAGCGATTGGCGGAAGAGTTCACCGTCGCGGTGGAGGAGTAGCACGCTCCCTTGCGGGAGAGCCTTCACTAGCCTTTCGCCCAGAAGATGAGGAACTGGGGGGATTCCATCTTGCGGGGCAGGTTTCAATTCAGGTGGTGAGCTTAACCTGCCCAAGAAGCGGAACACCAGCACTACCAGGGCTGTCGCAATGGCTACCGAAGGGAGAAGAGCGCCCATGTTGGTATGTCATCAGGCGGCAGAGCATTCCGAGAATTCAAAGTCGTAAGGAAAAAAGGAAAGAAAGAAAAAAGGAGAGAAAAGGGAGAGAGAACGGAGAGAGAAGAGGTCTTTAAATGTCTCTAGCCAGCCGCACTGATACACGGGTTCAGACCCACAGTAAGCAAGACCAAGCGGGTGTGCTGGCCCCCCATTGGAGGCGCATAGTTAGGGCATGTCAGCACTAAAGAAAACTAGATATTTTTGGATTTACATTCTGGATTTATTGATGGAAGACTGCTTTTGATTAGAAGACCCGTGGGTTATGCCTATGATCAGAGATGGCAAATCGTTACGTTTTATGACACTGATCTCTTGGAAGCTGCTGAGTTGGTCGCTGTTCTTATGTGTGGAAACCGAGAAGAACCTCAATTCACCGATTGCTGCTTGGTAAGGTGACCCTTGATCAAGAAACAAATGCCCAGGAACAGTCCCTTCTCGAACGAGTCTTGGAGATTGTAAATGCGGACGCCTCGGATCTCCATGGGCTTGACCGGGACATCGCCAATGGCATTGCGAACGTGCTTCCATACCATGATTTTGCCATCCTGGTATGCACACCCGAGAACCATCTCCCACTCAGGGGGGGCTACCTGTCGCATCTCCTCCAGCTTGGGCTCCAGAAGAACCCTAGCGGTATTTGGCTTGTCGAGTGCGCCCAGGAGTATGTGTTGGAAACACTTGCCATCCTTAAACACGCTGACTGCCTGTGGTTCTTGGCCGCCTGGCCCCTGGATCACTCGAAAGTCGAATCCCGGCTCCCCTTCGAACGCCTGCCGCAAAACACTCACTAAGATGCTATCAGCCATGGTAATAAAAATATAATCTGATGCTCTGGAGCCCATCTGAGCGTTACGGGGCGGCGTGGGAGCCATTGTGGGTTGTTTGTGAAGTGAGTTTGGTGCCGTTGCTGCGATATATATACCTTTCGAGCTTTGTGGCACCCAGGTCTCAGGCAGTGTACTGAGCAGGAAAGCCTTTGTTTTCTATTCTGAAAGGCTCGTTGTTAAAGTTGGTCAAAGTGCCAAATCCTGGCCAGAGCAATCAAGAGGTTCAACCAACAGGCCCACAGGATGTTTCAGTGACGGGATAAAGCCATGAAGCATCAGGCAAGATAGGTCCATTCATAAGTCAAAAAATAATGCAGCACGTGTTACCTGAACTTTACATTGGACGTTCGAAGAAATTTCTATGCAGTAGCAAAGCACTGCCATTGCTCATGCTTAGCTAGTCTGGGCTTTCTTTATCATCTCACAACACATTGAAGATAATAAAGAAGGCTCCACCCTTTGTTCATTAAATACACTCTTATTCACTCACAAATTACAATTCGAGGCTCGAGCTTACTAATTGCAGTCTTGACTCTCTCAAGCATTGCTCTATGACTAAGCCTTAAGCCTGAAGTCCTCTTCGGAAGAACCTGGTTCTCGGAGAGCTTCTTTAACGATCCGCGGCAAAGTATACTAGTACTGTACTTCTTTTCCTCATGGACTACCAATGGAACTTGGAACCAAGAAGCCTTCGACTTCGCCAACATTCGTGCTTTCCGTGACCCAGACTTAGACCCCGTCGCGGTTGGTTGCGATGCGCTAGGCAAACAGCCGGCAGATATCGCAAGCTCCTATATACACCTACATCCATAGGAAACAATGCTGTGCGCTCACTGCGCTTTGGTTTTTAAACCTCCTTGTTTCAGCTCCAGTGACCTTTGCGCGAGATGTGGGTATCTTCCTACTGCACTCTCAACTACCAGAGCAAGAAGTTCCTGGTGCGATACTCCATGGTGGCGAGCCGTCTCGCTCAGGAAAGAATACCCTGGACATAATCCAGGCAAAGGGTTGACCTGAGTAGTTTCAGCATGACTTTGGCAATTTCTGGGAGGGGTGGCTGATAACTGACCTCGATAACATGCGGTCTCCCATCGGCTGAGCACCGGATATCCACACGTCCCACGTCACGAAAGCCCATGACTCTCCACACCCGCAAGGCGAGCGCCTCGACTGCCGCTACCTCCGGGTCCCACGATTCGATCGCAAACTTCATCACCTCTTTATCGTTCGCTCGGTTCTTGGCGTCAACGTCCAGGAACCCTCTTGTGAACGGATCCTTCTCACTCTCGGATTGTGTCCCGTGGCGTTTCTGCGCAGCCTCCCAGTCCAGATGCAAGGTCCCAAGCACACGTGCGGTCTGGCCGGTGCCGATCAGACTCACCGAGTACTCACGGCCAGCCAGATAACTTTCAACTAGGATACTCTGCCCAGGAAATTGACGTTGTAGCTTTTGCACCCCTTGTTCGAGCTCCGCTTGGTTGTGAACCTTGGAGAACGGATAAATGCCTTTCGAGCTTCCTTCACAGGATGGCTTGATGAACAACGGATATGCGGTCAACTTGACTGCGTGAGGGCTTGCTTGCACATCTTCAAGGGGATTCTGGGACGTTGATTGGACGACGGCGAACGGCGCGGTGGCGATGTCGTAGTATTGGAACATCATCTACGGGGCAGGAATCTGGGCTTAGCACGATCGCGTCGCTCGTCGAGTAGACAGAGATGATGCAGGAGGAGAGGGTACCTTGGTCTTTGCTTTGTCGAGTGTCATGGTCAGGGTTGCAGCGTCCGAAAAGACGCAGGGAATACGGTATGCTTCCAGCACGCCGGGGATTTGGGCCTCGCGAGCGGCGCCGTGCATCCCCTCCGAGATCGAGAACCCTAAGTCCCATCCCCGATGCTCCCCCTTCGCAATGCGTTGGATCAGCTCGTCCATGTCCCCCACAGGAACCACTCGATATCCCAGTCCGCGGAGCGACTCGATCATGCTGTCGATTGCTTCATCTTTGTCCAATTCCAGGCACTCCTCCAGGCTGTAGCCTTTGCTTAGGTACAGCGAGATTGTCTCATAGAAGAACGCTATCGTGATTGGAGTGAGGGTCATCGTTTCGAGTGCTGCAGGCTTTTGGCAATGGGTGCCGTACTAGTCGCGAGGTCCAAGTGAGGTCCCTCACTGGTTCTTAAGATGGTATAATGGAGAAGCTTCGGTCTCGAGGCCAGTCAGAGTGTGCGATGGCGGGCGATCATCCCTTGCATTACAAAGAAGCGGTGGACACGTCAGCATGGACGTACATTGCTGCATTTCGCGCACGCAATGCCAGCTTAACACATCACATCTCAGTGGCCGATCTGAGTTAATCACGCTTGGAGTCAATTTACGCTGTGCAATGTCTAGACCGAGTTTTCCGACCGAGGGGCTATAAACCGGGCACGGTTGGGCATGGGGCATTGATTTCCCACACAGCCGACAAAACCACCCACCATGACTCTCTCCTCACGCACTGCGAAGTCGAGCGTTGGAAAGGTGCGATGGTCATCGGTGGTCAGCAGCCCTCAGTTCCATCCATCGCCCACGGGGAATTGGGAATACTGGCGCAAGGTGCCCGCCTGGATGGATGTATCTCGGAACGAGTTTTTGAACTACAAGTGGCAGGTATGGTGACTCTATCTTGGGGCTCTCCTCTACATTCGCAGACTGATCATCAAATAGATGCACCACTCGCTGCAGAACACCCCGTCTCTGCTTGCCTTTCTGTCTGGAGTCCTTCCGCCCCAAGTCACAGCACCGTCGGGTCACGGAGAAATCACTCGTGACGAGGTGTTGAATGATGTGGTGACCGGACTCAAGAAGGCACCGATGGCTACTCGACTGACACCCCACATTCTGGCGCTGATCAACTGGGACGAGGTCTACTCCGATCCAATTCGACGCCAATTCATCCCAGTTGGCTCCTCGTACCAGCCCGACCATCCCAAGCTCACCCTCGACTCGTTGAACGAGACGCATGACTCACCAGTGAAAGGCCTGGTTCATCGCTATCCTGACAAGGTGCTGTTTCTGGGTAAGAATATCAAACCTATCTCTTGAGTGATACCAACCTGTCACAGCCAGCTCTGTGTGTCCGGTCTACTGCCGGTTTTGCACCCGATCCTACTCTGTAGGGGCGCAAACTGAGTCGGTCTCCAAAAAGCGATTTCTCCCACTCCGAAAATACTGGGAGCCGATGTTTGATTACATTGCGCAGACCCCAGCCGTGACCGATGTCGTCGTCTCCGGGGGCGACACCTTTTTCCTTGAGCCACAGCAACTGCAAGAAATCGGCGAGCGACTCCTGAGTCTGGAAAACGTGCGACGGATCCGCTTCGCGAGCAAAGGACTGTCTGTCTGCCCGTCACGCATCCTGGACCCAGATGACGGATGGGCCAATACGCTGATCGCCCTCAGCGAGCAGGGCCGGGCGCAAGGCAAGAGCATCGCCCTACATACGCATTTCAACCACCCGCAAGAGATCTCCTGGATCAGCGAGCAGGCTGCGCAGCACCTCTTCCGTCATGCCGTGACGGTTCGAAATCAGACTGTCTTACTGAATCGGGTCAACAATGACGTCCATACCATGAAGCGATTGATCCGGACGCTGGCAGACATCAATGTCCAACCGGTGAGTTCTCCAGCGGTACCTCTGCCGGGGGAGCAGGTCCGACTAACAGTTTCTACTAGTATTACGTATACCAGGGGGACATGGTACGGGGGGTGGAGGATCTCCGGACCCCCTTGCGCGACATTCTGCACCTCGAATCGCAGATCCGCGGCACGATCGCCGGCTTTATGACCCCCTCCTTCGTCGTCGACCTTCCCGGTGGCGGTGGCAAGCGGCTGGCGCAAACTTATGACAGCTACGATCCCTTGACGGGCGTGTCCAGATTCACAGCCCCGGGGGTCAAAGGGGACACTGTACATGAGTACCATGACCCCATGTGGTCCTTGCCTTCAGCAACAGAGGAGACAAGCACGGAGAAGGTAGATTCTAGCTCGTAAAAACTGCACCTAAGCACTCAGTAGTGATTTGATTCAGGGGTAAAAATGCAAGGGAGTGCAGCGTTGCATCCAAAACATACCGATCATGGCCCGCTTCCCCTTTTAGGGCAAACGCCGCCCGATCGGGGATTCGACTGTAAAATCACTTACCATCTATCTCTTCAAGCGAGCCAAAAACTGCTTCCAGACCTCTCCAATGTTCGGACACCTGCTTCGTTTGTAGTCTGGATCTATGTCAACACCAAGGCTTGACTGATGCATGCCATTGTCCCGTCCGTCATGAGTGAAGAGCATATGTTAGAGACTTTCCCATCCTCCGGACGTGCGGAGGCGGACATCGAGGAACCCGAGGACTTTGCACCCCCACATCACCGACCACCAAATGTACTCCTCTACGCTATCTTCGTCGGTAAGATGGACTTAGACACCGGGTCCATTCATTTACCGCAGCAATATCCACTGACCAACGCCCAGGGTGCTTCATTGCCAGTGCGGACGAGGCGCTGATGATCTCGACCTACACCTCGATTGCCTCCGAGTTCCAGCAGCTCACCCTGGGATCCTGGCTACTGGTCGCGTACAACTGCGGAAGTTGTGTTGCATGCCCGGTGGTACGTACGCCTCCAAAGTCCAGACATGGGTATCGTGCGTATCGACTAACCCGTAAGTGGTGCCTGCGTAGATTGGCGCTCTGTGTGACATTTACGGTCGCAAAAAGACACTGTTGGGATCATATGCCGTTTTCATTGCCGGTAGCTTCCTATGGTAGAATTGGCCCATAATCAAGCTGGTTTGGTGTGATGCTAATGTTATGCAGCGGTGTCAGTGGCTCTCTGGTTACGTTAGCCGGGTCGAGGGTCATTGCTGGTGTAGGCGGCGCTGGAATGGTCGCAATGACCTCCGTTATCATCACAGGTATTCATCTTTCATATCCGAACCGAGGTGTGCCAATTTGCGACTGACTAGAAATTTTGCTCAGATTTGATCCCACCACACGAAGTGGCACTGTATGACGGCTACTCGAGCACCATCAACATGCTTGGCCGCAGTGTTGGACCTCCTCTTGGCGGGTTTCTGACGCAAACAGTCGGTTGGCGATTGTATGTATCCCCTTTCCATGCCGCACACATTGAGGCCTGATGTCTTTCAGGTCGTTTTTGGGTCAGATCCCCTTCGCCGTATTGTGTCTTGTTGCTATGATGTGGGGTACACCACCACCACTGGCTCACCTTGACCGTCAAGTGCATGGAGAGCCCAAAGAACCACACAAAAAAGACATTGATGTCTCTGGTATGCTAACCCTGACATTCACGGTTGTGGCTTTGAGCGCTCTGGTAGAGTATGTGACTGCCCCGGATGCAGAAGGTCAGAATGCAGCGGTCATTTTCTTTCTCTTGGTGGCTACTCTGGTGGCTGGTGTTGGGTTCGCCCTCGTGGAGGGACTTTATGCCACGAACCCGCTGCTACCAGTGCATCTAATAAAAGGACCCTTCGGGGCTTGGTGTCTGATGGAGTTTCTAATTTACATAGGGCGTGGCGCGGTAAGTCTCCTAGATAAGAAATCGCTCTCTGCCCTAGGAAATACTGATGCACGGAATAATGGATAGCTCCTAACGCACCTAACCCCGTATCTCATCCGTGTGGAGGGCTGGAGTGATGCATGGGCATCTTTTGCGTTTGTTGGAAATGTCCTGGGTATCGCATCTGGGGGGCTTGCGGCTGGATATGCAATAAAAAGGTAGGTCAGCATTCGGGTTCCGGTTGTGTTGTATTGATTCACTGAAATGTACTATTGGCAGATACAAGCGATATCGCAAACTCGGGATATCCTCTCATGCCCTCACCACTCTTGCCTACCTCCTGATTTTCATCGAGTGGCGCAATGGCTGCACGATATGGCAAGCCGGTCTCCCGTCACTTCTGGGTCTGGGAACCGGGCTCATGTACACCGTCAATTTCATCGGCTTGACCACTACCTCTCCGAAAGAAAGTATGCCCGCGTGCATTGGCACGATTGAACTTTGTGAGTCGCTCGGGTTTATTGTCGGTCCTGCCATTAGCACCGCAATGATCCAGAAGATGTTTGCACATAGTCTCGCGATGACCATGCCCAGGGTGCCTGGCCTGTCCGAGGTAAGTTTTCGCCTGGTTATCAGGCCCAACCCAATTTCAGTTCTGTCGTTGATCGGCTTAGACAATTCATCACATTCTCGATGACGCGCGGTTTTCCTTTACCCTTGGCGATGCCATCCAGCAGATCGCGCGGACTAGCTACCTGCAGGCTTTTCAATATGTACCACGTATGAGATACCCTGGATGCAAGACATCGTTGACGCGATTGATGCACATCGGCGTTACTGACAGAATCTTTAGTCTTTGCCACTGTTTGCAGCGGAGCAGCGTTGGCTATTTTCATGCGTACTAATACCGGCGACCTGGTAGAATAACTAATGATGTGATTGTCTGGTCCATGCCGATTGGATTATCGCGGTGCAATCAACGGGGATGACGAAGCTACTCCTTTCGATTAGACACAGTATTCAATCAGTCAAAAATGCACGAGCCAGACCAAAGCTTTCTAAGCTTTCTGTATCAACAGGAAGATCCCGCATCCTGATGAGATTAATGAACAAAGAAGCTAGTGAGAGACACCAGCAAGACTGCCCTCAAATTGGAAGTGATCATCATTTGTCGGGCTGTCTGCCATGCTCCGGCTATCAGTATGACACAAAGGAGATTCTATGCCAGGAAGGAGGTGTATTTCGCTTGGAACCGTCGAGTCCCGTTTGGGAGGGATGATATTACGACTCTCGCCCAATCTCATAGCACATTCCATCTTTAGTGGCCCAAGTATATATTCAACATCTGATTTAGTATAGCCAAGATGATTCATAGCTTCCATCCCACCCAGCAACGAGCTTCGTAAGGATTTCACCTCTACTACAGAACGTCGGACTTGAAAGTTACCATATCTGCATATTTCATGATGGGTGTCTCGGCATCTCGCCATACACGTGAGGAGCAGGCTGTTCCCTCGCCGAGCGAAGGGGAATCCTCAGCATCTAAGCCTGAGGAAGACGACGTCCCTAGCGCATCGAGCGAAGACAGTTCTTCAATAGCTTCCGAAGACAAGTTCACTATTCCCCCGTTCGAGGGAGAACAGGAACCCCTGAGCCCTGTCACAGACGATTTAAACCTTAGGATTCCCCTCTGCGTGTATGGCCTCCTCCGGCAGATATTCCCGCCGGACGAGGGCTACCAACATACACACGCCACCCGGCACACGGGGGATGTCGACTTTCAAGTGCTGCACGTGGGCCACCCTACCACAGGAAGGTTCTTTTGCCTATTGTCTGGACCCACGCCTTCAAGGGCCCCGTTCTGGTATTCATATTCCGTCTGGCTCGCGATGGAGCTGGATATCATGGAACGCCTCACCTCCCCGGAAACACCGATCACTGGGATGATCTGGCGCATGGGTGAAATTGGGCTATACGAGCGCCGTCGGTTAGACGGAAGCATCATCACGCCGCCAGGGACCATCGTTCATGACCGAAGGCACTCCTTCGATGTCGTTGAGTATTGGCTCTTCCTCGTGGAGTATCTTCTGGGATTCAGGGGCGATGTTCACTATCGTGACATCCCAATGATCCCTTACGAGGCTTAGACCCAGGGCTCATCTCCACTGTGTAGCATTAGGTCTTCACCTGTTGCAGACGTAGGCGTAGTTTTCTCAATGTTTCCACAATTCATTTTCCGATACAAAAGCCTGCCATTCATTGTACCTGTTCTTTAGAATCCCAGATTGTTGATTTCGTCTCTTCGCAGTCTGCTGCTCACATTAGCTACCAATACTAAGCGGTAAATCTTAACAGTGTTCATGAGTCAAACAACATCAGCCGTCCAGGCGTCCTCAGATGTCAGACAGGTCTAGGTGGTCGGCTTTGTTTCATAATAGATAGCAAAATGGCAGATAGGTAAAAGCCCGGATGTTAGAGCTTCGAAAGGAGAGCTGGGAGAATAATGAAAAGGAACAATGGAAAGAAAAGAAGATGTAAAGCTCTTGCTATGGCAAATACACTGAATCTCAAGGCTACGGGACCTCGATTCCTCGGGACTTGGGATCAACGAATACTTGGGCGGATATACAGTCAAAGATGGCCGGGTTCCTTGACACTACCGGGATTTTGAACAAAATTGGGGTCAAATGTTTCACCAGCATCTTGGTGGCATAGTTGATATCATCATTATGACCCTCTTGGTCTCTCCTGTGGATCGAGCTGAAGTCACCATGCAGCTTTCATGTACTGTATGGACTGTACTGTAACGTAGCCATTACACGGGCAATACCCGAGGTAAGAGAGCTACACGTGAGTCGGCTGCGGTAATCTTGCGCCCCCGCTCGTCTGAGCAAATGAATAATTAGCAGGAACCGAACCACGGCATTTCTTTTTCAGACATTGCACCTGTATTGTATCCCATCTATAATTTTACTGTACCTACTATGACACCCATTCAACCCGCCTGGCAAGCCAGAGCCTCAGCCAAGCGCGAGGCGACTTTCTCCGCCATTCCCACCGAATGGCGCATCCCCGCTCCCATCCCCACCCCCGACATCCAACTCAATGTGACCGGAACATACATCCAGCAATATCTTTCCCCGCGGGAGATTGAAATCACTGAGTCCGACGCCGAGGACATCGTCTCTCACACGACAACGGGCACATGGACCGCAGTGGAGGTCGCATCGGCCTTCTGCCACCGTGCAGCCCTGGCTCACCAGCTCGTTTGTCTCCTCCCCGCCCATGCTTATCTAACACCCCTGCAACCCTTATAACGAAGAATAGGTCCCCTGCCTGCTTGAAATCTGCTTCGACCGCGCTCTGTCCACCGCAAAAGAACTAGACAGCTACTTCAACACCCACCAGGAGCCTCTAGGCCCACTCCACGGCCTCCCCATTAGCCTCAAAGACCAATTCCACATGTCGGGGGTGGAAACGACCATGGGCTACGTAGGCTGGATCGACACCTTCGAAGGGAAGCCACGCACCTCTCTCCCGCCCCACGAAAGAGACCAAGAAAGCGAACTGGTCCGCCTCCTCCGCGCCAGCGGGGCAGTCTTCTACTGCAAGACCAGCGTCCCGACCACCCTGATGGCCGGGGAAACCTGCAACAACATCCTGGGGTACACGTTCAACCCGGTCAACCGCCACCTCTCCGCGGGGGGCAGCTCGGGTGGGGAGGGGGCATTGCTGGCGCTGCGGGGCCCGACGGTGGGGTTCGGGACGGATATCGGCGGGAGCATCCGCGTCCCCGCCGCCTTCAATGGGATCCACGGCCTGCGGCCCTCGGCCGGGCGCTTGCCCTTCGAGGGAGTGGCCAATTCGCTGGATGGGCAAAACACTATCCTTTCGGTAGTCGGCCCGATGGCGACCAGTGTCCAGGGACTCAAGCTGTTGGTGCAGGCGGTGCTGGCGCAGGAGCCGTGGTTTGTGGATCCCTTGGTGGTGGAGATGCCCTGGCGCCACGCGGTGGAGGAGCGCGTACGGGCTGCGGCGGAGGACAAGGGGCTTGCTTTTGCGATCATGGAGGATGATGGCACGGTAAGACCCCATCCGCCAGTTCAGCGGGCGCTGGGGTTAGTAAGATTGTTGTTGGAGCAAAAAGGCCACCGGGTGAGTGGTGTCGCTTGCGGTGCAATGGATTCCAAACTTACCTAGTGTTTAGGTTATCGATTGGAATCCCCCGAGTCATGCCACAGCTTTCGATATCGCGGTACGTGCTGGGCCCGGATTCCAACAAAAAAAAGTAAGAAGAACGCTGACCGCACAAGATGCAAGCATGGCACATGGACGGCGGAACAGACGTCCAAGCCCACCGCGCGCTCGCCGGCGAGGAACAGCTCCCTGAGTGCTTCTTGCAGCCGAGTGCGCACCTCCGCGCTGCACAGGTGGCAGCCCTGAATGTCAAGAAGCGCAACTATCAGAAAGCGTACATGGACTACTGGAACTCCACGGCCACACTCACCGGGACCACACGGCCGGTGGACGCGCTGATCTGCCCAGCTTGCCCCTCAGTGGCGGTCCGACCAGGCAAGTTTAAGTACGGGGTGTATACCACCTTTGTCAATGTCCTCGACTATTCCAGTGCGGTTCTCCCGGTCACGAAAGTGGATTGCGTGGTGGACGGGGAGCACAGACCGGCTGTGCCCTTGAGTGAGATGGATGCTGAGGTTCAGGCAGACTGTAGGTATCTGTCTGGTGAATATGAATGAAGCACGCGCGCTAACGGTCGCAGATGACTGCGACGATTGCCATGGCTCTCCAGTTGCGCTGCAGCTGGTGGGTCGCCGCTTCGAAGAGGAGAAGGTGCTGAGTCTGGTTCAGTACGTTGAGGGTCTTATCAATGAGGCTACCCAGAGGATGTAGCCATCGTGGTATTCTGATGACGAATGAGCAGAAATCCTTTTCAAGTTGCGGTTGCTGGGATCTTCTCAATTTGTGTTCATCTGCCCCCTCTAGGTTAATTTATTGCCTTAAACTATTATGCCGGCGGCACTCCCCAGTACTCCCCTTTCACGTTTCACGTTGCATAAAACTGCACCCTTTGCAACACGACGAACTTCGAATCCTCTACTGTCATCGTCTGAGTAGACAACAGTTCGCCGCGCAGCACTACTCCGCCTCCCCCTCGCCCTCCCCGGTCGACACCGCAGCATACCTCTGTCCCCCTTTCAGCCACCGCTTACGAAGAGCATAGAATCCCGCCCCAATCACCCACAGCACGATCAGAATAGCCGCCTGAAACGGCGCAAACACCGCCCCACGCGTCACCACAAACCCACTCACCAGGACAAAGACAATTGGAATCCCCAGAAAGGGCTTGTAGGGCCGCTCGAGGTCCGGTTCGCGGAAGCGCAGCATGATCGCTCCAACCACCGTCAGGAAAAAGAACGAGTACTCTCCCAGACCATTGAAGGTAAGCAGAGCTCGAAAGTTGCCAAAGAGAATATAGAAGATTGGCAAGATGGTCGATAAGACGATGGCGTTGATGGGTGCATCGGAGCCGAGGCTGTTGTTCTGGTCGGAGGAGGGCCGTCCCAGCTGACCGATAACTCCCAGGAGTTGCGGCAGCCAGTTCCTGTTTGCAGCAGCAACTACCATCCGGCCCGCAACAAAGGAGTTGCCCAGCAGAGACCCGGCGACTACCAGACAGATCAAGATCGCGGCGATGATACCGGCTGCGGGGCCTAGAAGATGCGTTATGGCCGTCTGGTGGCGTTAGCTGCGCCCACGAACAGAGGCAGTAGGATTGAAACGTACAACAGCCACACTATCCGTCGTGGAGACCACATTCCATGGTAGGAGAATGTAGTATGCCGCATTGGCCGCAATGAAGCAGAGAATGATGATAGGCACGGCGGAGTTGATAGCCAAGGGAAGCTGGCGCGCCGGGGCGGAAAGTTCTGCGCTGATGTAGATCGCCTAGAAAAATGTCAATGACTCCGCCGGCCGCTGAAAGAAGTGCCTTACCTTGTCCCAGCCAGAATAAGCCCACAGTGCACCGTACAAGGCGGTCGAGTAATACCCCAGCATCTCCCACCCAGCGACGTCATGCCAGTCAATCAGCTTTCCATCCGGAGTGACCGTGTTGCGATAGCCGAACCAGGGATTCTGGAACCAGTCTCGGGATCCATGGCCACTGTCGGACTTGGCCAGATGGGCGATAACAACACCAAGCCCCGCTAGCACCACCGCGGCGATGGTGACGAACTTGGTGCTGACGAAGAACCCATTGAGCCGCGTGCTGACCTTGGTGCTGATAGAATTCGCAACGCTGACCACAACAAGAATCAAAATGGACAGCAGCTTGTGCGACATTGCTGCAGCCTGATCAGTCACACCAGCTGCCGAGTAAATGCTCTCGACGAACACGATGCTGAGAATGGCCAAGGTGGCCGGCATGACAGCAATGATCCACGTCCAGGCCGCCAGAAAGCCACAGATTTCACCGAAGATATACTGCAGATACGGCTGCACGCCCCCTGGACGACATTCTGTCAGCGACTGAAAAAAGCAGGGGTTACAATGTAGTGGACGGATCGGTACCTTCACCAGGAATGGCAGTGCCCAGCTCGGCCATAGTCGTGGCGCCGGTCCAGGCTAAGATCCCACCCACAAGCCATACCACGAGGGCCACTCCAGGCGAAGGAACATTGGTATCGATTGACCCGGGTGAAGTAAAGATTCCACTTCCGATCACGATGCTGATGATGATGCCGAAAGCTTCGACGGCGCCAAGGTTTCGCTTGAATGCACCGGGGCGGTGATCTTCCACGGTGGCACCTTCTTGGGCAATGGTTGCATGGTTTCTCTCATCTGGCTGCGTGAGTAGCGGCTGGATGGCTCCATCCTGGCTGTCACGGGTAGAAGCCATGATTGCGATGATTGTTGGGTAGTGGGAGGATGGTGATAAGCAGAGAAACAAATGCGGGAGTCACTTCGATGCGATCACGCCATCAGACGCGCAGATTGATGCTGCCTCTGCCCCGCACTTGATTTCCCCGGTGAACCTGAACTCGATTGGGAAACAGAAGAGGCCGGTGGAGGTGTCCGCAAGAAGGTCACTCACTAACTGTCTCCGGGAGAAGTTGCGAGAATGGAGAGAAGCTAGTTTGATATTATCGTCGCTGACCGCCTAGATGGTTGACGCTCACATGTGACTCCTCCCTTGTCCGCTGCCACTAAAGTCATATGACCAGTTCCTGTGTGCCTGAGGCACCATTCCTCTCTCAAACCCAACATTCAGAAAGGTACTGTAGTGTATGGATTGCATTTTAACTGACATGCTTGCTTGTTTCCTTTTCGCTGAGTCAATGAGAGGTGGTCAAGCTTTGATTCTACTACAGTTCGACACAGATAGTTTCGTCATGTGATATTCGGGCTATCGACTTGTCTGTACACACACATTACATTACTCTAAATCTAACATGATCTCTAATGAGTCGCTTCGTCGAGGTTGATGTTTCGGCTTAATACAAAAACGACATTGGGGTAGCAGCACCGCGCGAGACGCTGCGGTAATCGTGGACGGCAAGGTGAGTTCCTCCCCCCTTTACTGTCTCATCATCAGACCCAGGATCGGGAGGCGTGAATTCTCCGTCAGCGATGGGCCGGATGTAATAATGGTGGCTATCTTCGACCATGCCCACGTGCCAGCGATCCTGAAGTTCGCGACCTGTGGGCCCTCCTCCGCATGCCCCATGCAATCGTTCCGTCGGTGGACTATTGATCGCCAAGGCGAACATACTCGAAGGCTCGGTGAAATCATTGAGGAGGCGGCCGCGAACTTCGACCATGAAAAAGGCCATGAAGAGGACACTCGTGAGGAAGGCCAAGACAAGGACGACGTAGAAGCTCTTCTGCCAGTTGACGGCGTGGCCAGAAGCATAGCCCGATGACTGAAGAGTGGCGTTAAAGATCTGTTGCACCGGAGAAGGGAGGATCTGATTCGCATAGCCGCTGTAGTTCCAAAAGGGAACGTAAGGGGCATCCTGACTACTAATCATAAGAGTGACACTGGTCAGGACCGCGATGGCTTCCGCAACCGAAGGTACGTTGGCATTCAGGGACGCAGTGTTGCTGCTGTTGTCGTAGGCAGGAACCATCTGGGTCAAGAGCCGTTCAATGCTGGCGTCTTCTCCTGCGATTCCGGATCCTAGACTGACGGCATCCAGCCACAGCCAGCCAACGCTCTTCCAATTGATGTCGTAGTTGTCTTCTACGACACCCGGAACCCGACGGCTGTACTGGAGCGTGTCTGTGGGATCTTCACAACGGGTGCTCAGCTCGGCCCCGCTTGAGTCCACCTGGTATTGGGCCGAGCACAAACCAGATTGCTTGGCTTTTAATGCACAAAGGACATAAGCGGGATCGTGACCGGTGGGGGCGGTTCCCAGCAGATAGAGAGCAGATGAGTTCTCTACCTTGGCATTGAAAATCGTGTTGTACTCGGTCGGATAAATTGGGAAGACGGGAGCCGGGTGGTAGGTGCCAGGCGCAAAACCGAAGACCTCGTCCACCACGGTTTGATTTGTGCTCTGATAATATGCGGGAGCCTCTGTGTACCACGTTGTGGAGTTGAAGGGCTCGTGATCGGGCCATTCCGTGTAGATGATGGGCTCCAGCTCTTCCTTCGACAAGCCTGCACAGAGTACATTGACTGCCGGGGCAGGCACGGAGGCTTGGAGAATGTACTTCCCGTCTCCAGTGGCCCCATTCGGCTGCCGGATCCCATTTCGAGGATTGCGCGCCGCCTCGTATAGTCCTCCATGGGGAAACGCGGCGGTAACATTGTTCACCATTCGTTTGTATTTCTGGGAGGTTTCCTTCATGTCCGTGACCTCGATCCAACTTCCAGTGACGGTAGTATTATCGTACAATGACCCATGAGGCTTGATACGCGTTCTCAGTGACGTTGAGGTTGCATTGTTCGCCTGCGCTAGCCCACTCCATTGCTGCATGTATTGCTCGAAGTCGTGGTAGGCCCGACCGACAATCTCCATAGAAACGCAGGTCTCGTTCCGGCCGGCGGAGGGGTCGATCGTAGCGGTGATAGGAGTGTCGCACTGGGCTTCGAGGTAGGTGGGATTCGCGAAGGAGGTAGACACGTTGCCATAGAGTATTCGTTCGTAGACGGGGCCCATCGCTGACTTGGGGGACACTGCGAGGTGACATGGAATCAGCACTAGGAATGACGGGCGAAGGGAAGTCGATCGGTCGATCTCTTACCAAGAGCTTCCGCAGCAGTGGTGTAAAGCATCGAAACAAGAGTCGCAATTAGTGCAATAATGCCCAGGAGAGTACCTCCAGAGTAGCGCAAAGTCTCCCACTGCATGAACAAGGACCCCGGCTGCGTGATCCACATCCGCAGACTCATGTCCGAGATGCTGATGCCTCGCGACCCTCGACGCAGGGCTCTGCGGCTGAGCAGCTGGCCCACAAATGCTACACTGACCGTCACATAGGACAATTCGATGGTTTTGGCGAAGAAGGCGCTGAGGAGGGTAGCTGAGGAGGGCGCCAGGCCACCGGTGTCGCCGATGAGGTTGCCATAATACGGTTTGAGGCAGGCGATGATAAGAAACAGGCCTGACAGGAGGGTAGTGTATGTGGAAAGGACAATGAGAGTTGCAAAAAACCACGAGCAACAGCGTTCGATGACGGGTTCGCGCGAGGGGCAGTTCATCAACTGAAAGACATCGTTGGAATCTAGCTCACTGCAGGTTGTGTCACGCCGCTGCGGAGGCGAGCCGGGACTGGGGCTGGATGTAGGACTCGCAACAGGTTTGACTCCCATATCGCCATCGTCCTCGGTCGGGGAGAGGGTGGTGTTGAGGTGTAAGTCGACGTCGTGCTGGAATTCGAGCAGGTGGTGTTCAGCGGTAGATTCAGAAGCCATCCCTGGCAGATGGTTGAGAAGTTGGTTTGTTTTGATCTTGCCTCATCCGACCTGTCAGCCGCAACAAGAGGGGGGGAGATTAGTTGAGGGTGAAAAATGGAGTCGATGGAGTTGTGTCAGACTTCATCCTGCGTGTCAAGCGTTTGGGGGCGAGGGGAGGGGGGGAAGACCCAGATTAGCCATAGCCATCAGCCATCAGCCCGAGAAACAGTTAATTTCAGGAAATGAGGGAATTCCCTGCGGCTGTGCTAGCCTGGTGAATCCCCGTCGCAAAGCAGTCGAGAGATTGGCCCAACACATCGTTGGGGAAGACTTAGTGAATTAGTGAATTAGTTGTACAGGGAAGGACAGGGAAGAACCGGGACTAGACCAGGGGACAAAGAGGCTGGACTGGAGCTTGGATTCTGGATCGGAGGTGGGAAGCAATCGAAGTCCACTTGGGAAAAGGCGGACCGAGCGGTGGAGAGCAGCCGATCATCGGCCCTCGATTGGTTCGTTCGACTGTCACATCATGTGACGACTCGGGATGATAGAAGCGGTGGGGAGCAAAAGGTCACGTGCCTGATCTATCTCCGACTGACCCCATTGGGATTGGGCTGTAAGGCTCAGCTCAGCTACTAGGTAGAAGTAGAACTGGTTGGTGATCGATTATAACCATCTGCGACCAGTCTAATGCCATATATTAAGCTCCACATCTTCCTATCTCAAACACTGAGCTTCTACGATCCGATGGCTATAGCACTAGCCTTTGTTTCTAATTTCAAGACTTTCTGATACATCCTGCCCAGCTGGAGCGGAAAATATATCTTCGTTTCAGCCACGGGTTAGTCTCACAGACGCGTCTGAGCACGGTTTCCCTTGTCACCTCCAAACAGCAAGGGCACTTCGTAAAGAGATCATCGAAGGAAAGGGTAGACTACATTTCTAGGAATTGAATCATAAGGAGCCGAGGCAAAACAGATTACAGCATGTTATAGTATTTACAACAATTTGTCCCACAAGGACCAATGCACGACAAGGATGGATGCCATGCGGTAAAGCCAAGACTAGCAAAGTAAGACAGCTTTAATGTAGAGGAGCATATGTCATATCCAGTCGCTAATCAATTATGTGTGCAGTCTGTACTCATGGTTCCAGCAAAGTAGAACGGGTCGTAGGGCTGTTGACGAGACTAAATATGAGGTGGTCCGTACCTACCAGAATTACCCCTACAGTACACACCAGGCTGTCATCGCGTAAACATCATAGTTTGTCCTATATCTCCGAAGTTAAGTCATCCAACTGTTTTGCTTGAACAGAAGAGGAAATTTTCTCGGGCCCGTTGGCCCCCACGACCAGGGGGGCTGAAGAAGCATCCCCCACACAAAAGCCTGCAGTTACTGCAACCATTGGCCTCCTCACCATCGTGACGTACATACTGCTCCAAGGCGAGGATGTGACTGGTCAGTTCTTTAACGTCTCTGCAATGGACTACACCAGAACTCGAGCCACCAAGGCAAATGATTCCCATTCTACCAAATCGCCCCCAGAATTCCGCTTCTGTTAGCCTCAATAGATATTCACCGAGCTATATGTGTTGCTATATGTGCTATGTGAGGCAGAATGGTGAAGAAAAGGGGTCGAGGGTCGTGCGTGCTCAAAATGTATTTAATGTGCGACTCAAGCTGGAGAGCAGCGGGTCTACTCCACCGACACACCAATACAACACATCGACCATATTCTCCTGATCAAAATGAAGTTCTCAATAATTCTTGCTGCTCTTGTCAGCACTTCTATGGTAGGCAATACTCACTCTGCGTCGCATATGCATACTAATTCCTCAACAAGGCTCTGGTGACAACCCGGGTGCCAAGGGGGTACACCGTCGTGCCCATGACCTACAGAGGCATCATCACCGAGGGCGGCGACGAGGTGGAGTTGTCCGGAACAATTGAAGACGTCCACCAGCAGATCAAACGTCTCAATCCCGACTTCAACGTCACCCAGTCTCTCGAAGTTCGGGAGGCGGACGCCGAGGTCCACCGCATCCTCCAGAAAAGAAACAAGGTCTTCCGATCAAGATCCAAACATAAACCATAGAGCTGCCTGCCACTGACACTATGGCTTAGAGCAACTTGCTGTGCAACGTCGAGGGTGACCACTCCGAGACCGCCACCTACACATGGATCACCCAAGGGATCCAATATCTGCTCGCCTTGGATGGGGTGTGCAAAGTGGGTGCCGGCCCTGGCACCTGCGCCCGAATCAGCTGCTCCTATGACTCGGGTATCTATCTCTGCAATGACGTAAGGGTTTTGGCTGCTTCCCCAGTTGATCAGGACGTGGAGAATGAGGACTAATTGGCGAGTAGAATGCGTGGGAAATTGAGCCCAAGTGCTCGTACCTGGCAACCCATGCCGAGGATATCATGACGCAGTGCTATAACGGGATGTATATCAATGGCCAGGAGTTCGATACGGACAATTACAATGTCATTGTCGCCGGCGACATTTGCTAGAAAGGCATTAGCTCCGCTAGCAACGGGCGGGAGACAACTTTGTTGCTGCTGGGCGGACTGTTTTGCTGCGAGGAGCATGCTTGTCTTGTTGTGTTTTAGTTTGTACTGTACTGTACTGTAACATTAGTTCATTCGGTTTGTGTTTGCTGAAATAACGGATGTCAATTGTGCCGTGCATATATACTCAACCACAATTTATGGTACCTGTGCATGTAGTATCAGCAGATAATCAATACTGCTTAGGGTGACTTCGTGGTTTGGACTAGTTGCTGGTTGGAAACCTTTCAATTGAGCACTGCTCGTACCTGTAAAGGTAGAGCAGCAACTTAGCTAGGGAAAAAGTTGCAGGTAGTAGAAGACCCACCTCGAAGCATTATAAGCTCCCACAGCTAGTGGAGGGTATTCTCACCAGTGCTCCTTGATAATCACTTCCATGATGTAGGCTATAAGTCTGGAATCATTCCGCATATGGAACACGGCTTTTCCTGCAACATCAATAGGGTAGCGCTGGCCATCTTCTTCGAGCCGGTAGAATCGGAAGAACTTACCGACGACGACGATCCCAAAGACAACTTTCGGCTCCTCCTGATCGGGGAGGTGTCTCATCGTATGCACCATCTGGGTCATGAGGTTAGCCTCGCGGTCCCACCGATCGAGATCGTCATCGCTGGAAGGGAAGCGCTCCAACTCCACATTTAAGAAGTTTGCGCCTACCCACCTGGACGATGCCGTGATGCGCACACTGAGCGTTCCCCGGCTATTGACGGCAGAAGTAGCACTACTCACATCGTAACCGGGGAAATTAGGCCCCATGTGCTGCGACGGGAAGAAGTGCTCAAGGATTTCGAGCCAACATCCCAGCATCTGCATTGCGTTCACTTGATCGTCTGGGATCGAGTTGGCAACGCCAGTCACGGCATCGGTGCCATCGTCAACCGCGGCAGAGAACATCTGTGGGAGATTTGGAATCTGAGGCTGAGGCTGAGGCTGAGTACCGGATTGACCGGCAGCCTGCTGATCCTCCGCCATCTCGCTTGCAATACTAGGCGTCCGCACCACTTGGCTCTGGTCAGTCGCAATTTTCAAAGTTATGTTATGTGGGTAATTTTGGTGGATGGATAACCGACAGGTAGCGGGATTCTCCTAGTTTGTCGTTGTACCAAAGGGAGAAAAATAGGGGGGCGAGTACTTTATACCAAGTCTACATCTCTAAGAGAGGGCGCTAAAGCCATGATGGTGCTGATAATCTCCGTGGAGAATGTTGCTTAGCGAAGCATTCTCACAATTTGTGGTAAGTATAGAAAAGGCTGTCGACCAAATCGGCGAGAGCCGCAATGCTCGTCCCACAGAGAGAAAGGTCTCAGAGCAAACCCCGGGATGTCAGGAAATTGATAATGAATAGATGGGGTATACCATGAGATCTTCCGCCGATAATCGTTGACAAGAGAACAAAGAGTTTGATAGTTTTGTACGTACAAGTTCATCGGAAACACGGGAACATGTGTATGGAAAGTACGGTACCCCTGTCCAGTCGCTATGATAGCAGCCGCACCATCCCCAGAGATAACTGATTGTGTAGAACTGCTATATACTGAATACCATGCACACTGCATACATCCACCCTCGCGACAGACAGACATCGAGCAGAGCACGAACCTGCCAATTTATCCATAATACCAGACTCAAGTATAAGCCATAATCGAATTAAACGTCCAGAAAGCATACTTGAAATCCCCCGGCACATTCTTCACATAATCCTCACAGGAGCCATACCCAGTCTTGGCCGCGCACCCGGAACTCGACCACGTCCCACTCGCCCAAGTTCCACAGAAAGTGGTGTCGATGACAATCCTTTGATTTTTGATATGTGTGGACATATCACACCCACTGCCATTGTTACTCTCAAAAACCGTAGTCGGGGTTCCCCAAGTATCCGGATTCGGAGAAGACCCCAAGGGCCCGCTTGCGCCACTGGGAATGGCACCCCGGGGGAAGAACCAGATGCGTACCGCTTGCGCGGTCCACTCCATGGCATAAACACCTCCACCATTGTTGTTGAATCCCGATCCGAAGCTGTTGGTGCGCGGGTCGTTGGCGTCGCAGCCGCCGTTGGCCTCTTCGGCGCAATTGTTCCACCGGTCCTTGGTTGCGGTCATAGCAGGGTTGGAGGTGATGGTGCATTGGCCTTGTTTGTTGCTAACGTGCAACGACATCTGGTTGTTCTGGGCGTTGTTGGCGTTTTCGACGATGTCAATCTCGCCGCTCTGCGGCCAATCGTCGGAGGCGGCGGTCATCCAGAAAGCGGGCCAGGTGCCGCAGACTTGTGGCTGGTCATCTTGCTAAGAAAAAGGATTGGAGCATCAGAGGTGGGGGAAAGGAAACCGTACCATATATGCGATATCCGCCACGATGAGAGTTCCCGGGCTGTAGGCCGTCTTGCCGGTCAGCCGGACACTCTTGCGGCCCTCATTGCCGACCTTGTTGGTGTTGTCCACTCCGAGATAGATGTTGCCCCCGTTGCCGATGAGGCCGTTACTCCAGGCTGAGACTTCGTCGACATATTGCACAAGACCGTTGGTCGGATCGGCCCCGGTCCAGAAGGTGAACTTGCTGAAGAAGTCTTGGTAATTGTTGCCGGTGTAGCTGTCCTTGAGAGTATAAGCTTGGGTGGTTGCTGGCCAGACCAGGGCAGTTGCTGCCAGGAAGAAGGTTTTGGGCGCCATCGCGAAAGAAGTAGATCATGCAAGCTCACTGGTGGCTGCGAGAAAAGTGAAGTCGTGCCCCAGGCGTACAATATATGCGATGCGACCGAGAACACCTCGCCGAAAAGGCATCCATTGACTATGCTATATACCTATTGGTGCTATGTCACCTCGTTGACTGATTAGGGGGCATATTCTCTCCGAGTGAGGGCTGTTCGAACCCGATCGGGAGAATGGATACCCGCTATTTCAGGCCAGGCTGACGGCCCGTCAGTGAATACGAGCCTGATGAGACAGTGCGAAACACCAACGCACCGTTGCTAATCCATCCATCAAGTAATGTGTAAGGGTCCGAGACTAGGGGATTTTTTGGCCCCAGGAGTCTTCAATAAAGCGTGATCGTCAGGGGAAAGCACCAAGACATCGGGATCCCACGGCACCCGATTGTCTTTCAGGAAGCGACAGGTCTGCCTCCTCGTCACGAAGGTCAACTTCGCGTGATTGCGAACCCGACCACGCGCCAGTATGACCTGGAGACAATGACATCAAAATGTCACACGATGAGTACGCACGGATCTTAGGTAGTAGAGGTATGGTCACCTTCAACTCACTAGTGCATGGAAGAAGTCATGATTTGAATGTCCTATCCGCCCAGACAAGGCACGACACACAGTCGATATATCCAGCCCCGTTGTCAGGTAAATCATCATCATTCATTGCGTCTATATACCTACATACTCGTTACCCATCACGCTGCCAATTGAAATACAAGAATAAGCGTCAGCGTCGAACCCTACATGCAACCTTACAACACTTCTGTCATCAGTTCATCAGCATGTATATCGCACCCACCAACCCGTTTGCGCATCCTGAGCCATGTAGACGGCGTCTCGATGTTCCAAAGTCAAGTGAAACTGCAGTTGCTCTTTGCAGTCCATGGTTCCGACCAGGGCCTCGTGGGGCCCAGGGGTCTGCGGCCAGTAGGAGAAATCGGCGGCGCCGATGCGGGTGATATTGCCGGGGGCGACGTTCTCGAGAACGCGGACCAAGGCGTTGGAGCCCGCAGTGAAATTGCGGCGTGCGGGGATGGTCCAGCCGAGGGTGCAGTGGCGGGCCTCGGTGGGCAGAGTGAAGGTCATCAGTTGGTCCCATTGAGTGGTGGCGGAGCGGGAGAGATTCAAATCTGGGGTGGGAAAGGGAGAGGCGGCGGGTTCGGTCGGGAAGATCAGCTCCATCTGCGGCTGGAAGACTTGCGTGCCTGAGGCAGGACAGCTGATTTGGGTGTTTTCCGTGCTGTAGCTATAGTGGTGGTGGTTGTTGTTGGCCGGGTTGTCCGGACAACCCGCCTCTAGGGCGCAGGGGTCGACAGAGCAGCACCCCCGGAAGTGGTTCAGATAACACGCATAGAAGGTCGTCCCAGCACCGCACTGCGTATCATCGCGCGGAGACAGCGAGTGTGGAACATTTGTGTCGGTCGTGGGAAGAGCCACAGACAAGGACCAGACCGCCGTGCTGGCAAGGAGCGCTTGTCGAAAGAACATTCTTGGAGGGATTTTTGGCAGTTCGGAGTGATTAGATGGAGAATGTGCCAGGCCAGGATGCAGGAATGTGAAGAGATCTGGAATGCAACAGATCGAGGGCGAAGGCGAGTATCTTCATTTATATATTGGACGCGATCTCCTCTCCGCACCATCGCAGGAGGTGGGTGGATGCAAGGTGCACCCCTCATCCCTGCCAAAACCCTGGATGGGGCGATCATCCTGTCCCCGGCCATTGCTCACGGAGCCCACCCTGGCTCAGGATATTCTCATTAGCCAAATTCTTGTCCAACTGAATAACGGCCTGCCAGGTCCCGATTCCCAGATCGTACCACGATCACAGTGGCTGGGTTAGTGGAAAGACAGGGCAGGGCATCCGCGCTCCGAAAGTCCGGAGGCAGAGACAGGAACTTAGTAGACTCCACCGCCTAGCAGAATGACAGCGAATCTCTGGTCCCTCCTCGATCGCCAATGCGCTATGATCTCATGTCTACATGTCCGAGGCAGCAGTGAGTAAGTTTTCGACTCACATGGGCTCGTTTGCTCTCCGCCTGCAAAGTCAATTGCATTCGGGGCTGATGATCGACGCCGGCTGCCGGGTGCACCTGGCCTGCAATCATGGTTCCGCTGTCGATCGCTCAGCGATCGCAACCGTCACACCAATGTGTACTTGAATTGCCTGCCTAGGCCCGAAAATTTGAGATCTGCTGGGAAGTGAGTTTTATTAGGATCAGCGATGGTTTGAGCCAGTGGACAAGACATTCATCGCGTACCTAGCAACCGTCTTCTTTGGGGAGAACTCCTGTGGCAGACGATTCCACGAGTCACGATTCACGATATGTTGCAGCTCCTTGTGCTGAGTTGCACGTATGCGGCTTACTATATGGATTAGGATCAAAGATTCTGTTAACATGACATAAAGGGCGGCCAGCGCTGCTGCGAAAACACCCGTAGAAGCAGCAACCGAGAAGGATGGTTCCTTCATCGCAGGAACGCTGCAATAGACGCCATGTTCCATTCAGAAACACCGAAGTACATGCACCGGAAAGAGTAGAACCGCTTCATACGGATGTGAACTGGAACTTCATCCGCATCTGGGGGCCAGAAGCATTCATTACGATGAAGAAAGGAGGCTATTGTCTTATCCCTCAATTATCCCTCTATTCCTACCATCGACTCCAACCATGGATGCACGTGTTTGGAAGCGAGCCGATACCGTAGTGCAGCTGGCCCCCAAGCGCCCCCAGCGTCTTGTTTCTCCCACTCCGTCCCTGAATCCTTCGCCCTACAGTAGACGGTCTTGGCACCTCGCTTCCATCCCCATCACATACTGATCGTATACTGATCGTATACTGATTGGGCATATCTCGCCCCCTATGCTCCATGTGGACCATGACCGTCGATCCTTCGCGATCAGGGTCCTAACGGTCTGTTCGAAACGATCGAACTCGGCTATTTTTGTCTCTCTCTATCGCATGATGGCGCGGAAGTGCAGATCGGGACCTCGACCCGGTGACAGGTCATTGACCCCTCAATTGGCTTTTTTGGCAGCGAGTAACACAGTAACACGCCATTCACGGCTGCTCTCCTCTCCTGGCTGTCGAGATCTCATGTATTCTGTTCTCTGTTGGTGTCACCATCAGACGATGTGCACAAGCTGAGTGCTGCAAAAATAGGCCGGTGGTGGAACAGTGCCCAAGATCCGCAGGTTTGCAGGTAACGTATACTCTAACCCGACTTGGTGCTTTGTTGGAGACCAGTTCGCTCCGAGCTTCGTTGGGGCCAAAAGCACATGGGCAAGAAGGGTTCTGACAGCCACGCGAAGATCTACTGAATCCTGCTGGCACGGGTTGACGCTTCTATACTCGTATAAAGGCGGCCAGACTTCCAGGCTGTTCACATCTATCACCATCACCATCTCATTCTACAGAATCTCCGGCAGCCAGAACACTTCCACACTGATCTAATCTGCATTTCCGCAATGGCAATCCAAAGCATGCTTGGTTTGGCCGTCCTGGGCCTGTCTGCCTCGGCCGTGGCCCAGACTGTCGATGGCTCCAAGTACAACTCGCCCACTGGTGGCCCACCGTCTAGCTACTTTGCAGCGGCCTCATCCATTCCAGTTTCTGCGATTCAGTTAGCTGCCGCCAAGGCAAGTGGTGTGCCGTCGTTGGCCACCTACCCAGTCAACACCGACAAGAACTCCCCTAAATCGACCATTCATAATGACTGGGTCAAATTCAGCGATGTATGTTCCCGGGCCACAGCTTACAGAAGATCTGTGCTAACCGCAGTAGGGAGCGGCCCTAAGCTGGGTCGCTGACATGGATGTAGACTGTGACGGAATTGACTACAAGTGCTCGGTAAGTCCTTACTGTTCTTTCTATCTTTCCCTCGCGAACAGTACTGACTTCCAGATCTATTAGGGCAACGGGGATGGCCAGCCGCAGACCAACTGGGGAGCGCTCGCCGCCTACGAAGTTCCCTTCATTGTCATCCCCGACAAATTTCTGACCGCCAACACTGACCTTCTCCCTGGGAACAACGTCGCTGCTGTGATCTGGTAAGCTCCTCAGGACATATACGCAGAGAGAAGCTGACGACCGCAGTAACGGCAAAATGTACTACGGCATCTTGGGGGATTCCAACGGCGACGACCCCGAAGTCACCGGAGAAGCCTCCTGGCTGATGGCTCGGACCTGTTTTCCCGACGAAGGCTTGAGTGGCGACGAGGGCCACACAGCTGCCGATGTGACCTGTACGTGATCTTCTCTTCTCTGCTCCCCGATACCCAGTTACAGACCTAACGATGGCAGATATCGTCTTCACCGGCAAGGACGCCGTCCTCCCCAGCAGCGCCCTGGGCAAAAACTACATCACCAACTTCACCACCCTCCGGTCCATGGGCGATAAACTGATGGGCGCATTGGCCTCCAAACTGGGCTTGGGCGGCGCCGCTCCCAGTGAAGGGCTGACTTCCTCGGCTGCGGCGACAACCCTTACGAAGACTACCTCCACAACAACTAGTGCTGCAAGTCCGACGGAAACAGACGAGGACGAGTGTTCGTGGTCGGGTCACTGTGAAGGTAAGTCCACTGTCTCCACTGGGGGTCATTAAACTGACGGCTTAGGTGCCACTTGTTCCTCTGATGATGATTGTTCTGATGACTTGGTGTGCGATAGTGGGAGCTGCAGCGCTGAGTAGAGGGGGTGATGTAGTTCCAGAGGGTTAAGGAAAATCGGATCACACCATATATGTATTATGTATCTCTCGTAGGATGGAATTGGAGTTTTGTTCTGAATTGACATCATTATCGTCGTTCCTCCACTTCTTCCTACGTTATCTCTATCACATCCCACATGGTTGCAGTGCCAAGCAACAGCGGTAATTCGCAACTACTGATTCTTGGTGCGGCCAACCATGTCAAGCATGAGGTTCACTTCTCGGAGTCCGGACCGCATAATTGAATCATGGCGTTTACCCGGTCATTACTCAGGAGCAAACACGCTGTATCAAGCAGCCTCATCCAGAACAGCCTGACTGCGCCAATCCACCAGAGCATCATCCTCATCCTCATCCCCATCCTCATCCCCATCCGCATCCTCCACAACATACCAATCCCGCACCACGGCCGTCCCATCCACCACCGTCTTCCAGACCTCCGGCTCACAAGTCCCCGGATACAGAATATAGCACCTGGCCTTTGGCACCGGCTGTCGCTCATTCTTAATACTCCAAGTATCCCGGAGCCCGACCGTGCGAAAGTCATCCGTCACCTGCACCAACCCGGACGGGACATCCCGATCGAACGTCGCTCGATTAAAGATCTCCAGCGACGCCAGCGGCTGATAAGAAGGCACCTCGTGACCGGCCTGATATACCCGGGTGAAACTGAAGTTACCCAGCTGTCTCGTCATGCCCTTGACCCCCTCCGAGGTGAGGAGCGGGGTGTACCCGGCTGCGGCGAAGTCCTCGGCGCGGGAGTAGGGCACCGCCAGACTGGCCGCTTCGCCTCCGAGCCAGTTACAGGCGAAGTCGCGGTCGCCGTACATCATGTGCACTTTCACGCCGCTGTCGAGCAGGTAGGCGATCGCTTCGAGGAAGCCGCCGTGGTCGATATCGATGGCGCCGACGAAAGCATCGCTCACGGCGGGCGAGGCCGCGGTGAAATTGACGGGGACGCCCAGAGCGGAGAGAACGGATTCTTGGGTGAGGTAGCCCAGCCATGCTGCATTGGCATCAGTACGAGGTGCACAACACTGGTCCAAGGGGGCTCACATTTGGGGGGGAATGGATCATGCTTGGGATGTGTAATGTCGTACCAGGAATTCTGGTTCCTGCTATCAGCTGTATTGTCACCATGATGAGGAGGGAAGCTCACGTTTAACTCCCTCTCATATAGCTGAGGCGCGCCCCCTGCGCAACCCTGCTCGATCCCCTCACAAATAGACGAGATATTCGGCGACGGGACGACGCCCGCATCGCGATCCCTCAAGGCCACCCGACACTTGACTAACCGATCGCGACAACCCCCAGGACGCTCCCAATGATCCAAGAGCGCTTCGTAAGTCGTCTGATTGAAGATCTCGATCCCGTATGTCTGCACCACATCAGCACCGACCACCCCAACCCAACATCCACCCCAGCAACAGACCTACATTATTGTACCCAAGGTGGATATACGACTCCCCCTGCACCAACGAATCCACCAACCCATTCACAATTCCCAACGTATCCAAGTGCAAATACCGTGCCCCAGGCTCCGCCACCCCGTTCGCGACCCGCTCATTCTGCTCCTGAAAGAACCGAAAGAACCCGGGCCCATAGTGACCGCCGTAACTCTCGGCCCACAGACTGATGCGATCATCGCGCGGCCGGTACTGCGGAAACTCGAAGAACCAGGTCTGCACGAACTGCCACAGCGCCGGCGCCGCATGCGCCGTCGTATCCGCGGTGGCGTTCACTTGCTGGCTGGCAAAGGTGCCCACCAGATGGGTGAGGTTCGACTCCGGGATTTCAGTCGTAAAATTTCCGGGTAGGATGTTGCTCCCTTCCCCGTTGGCGTTGGCGAAGATGGTCCCGTTGGTCGGCACGTCGTACGAGAACCCGACCTGCACGGGCTGGTCGAGGAAGAGGAGGTTGACCTCGTTGTTCCAGCTGTAGGGGTTGAGGATGGTCGTTTGCGCGTCTTCGGCGACGGTGCATGGCCCTAGTTCCTCGAAGAGGCCCATCAGGGAGGAGCCGCCGGGGCCGCCGTTCAGCCAGATGGCTAGTGGGGCATTCTCGGGGTCTTTGCGGGATTCGAAGAACCAAAAAAACCTGGATTTTCAGATCGTTAGGAAGTCATTGGGGTAATGCTTGGGGAGATCGTACGTGTTGATCGGGTAGTCTTGCGGCCCACTGTCACTTTCGTTCAGAAACCTCGGGGGCAGGTGGACGTAGCCAGAGTAGGAGCGGACACCGGGGGTGGTTTCGCAGATTCCGGGCTGTTTGACGGGGTCAGGAACCGTGGAATTTCAAAATCGGAGGGAATAATACCTCTTTGTATGAGATGCTCACGCTCTCGTGGAGCTTGGATTGAATCACTGTCACCCCTTCGAGCTTGGAAGGGAATTGCGCGCTGGCCAGACCCAGGAGACTGGTGATGGCTAAAGTGGTCAGTACGACCATGCTGCGAGACGCTCTTTTTGTACGTTGAACGAAAATGAGAAAGGAAAAGTGAAAATACCCTTGAGCTGGTCAGAAGCGCGGATTAAGAATAGCTTGGTGCTCCGCCAACGCAGCAGCCTAGATGCAGTGGATGAGTCGACAGTAAGCCCTAGCTGAAGGCGCCATTCGGAACTCCGCCGGCGTGAGAGATACCTTCCACAGGGGTCTGATTGGCTGGCTCGTGCACTTCTACCTTGCCTGGGTAAGCCAAAAGGCTTGGCCAATAAGCGAGAAACTTCGACATTTCAAATGCTGAGCTAACGGTCGATCAAGAATTGAGGCACCTGGTTCCGATAGCGGATGTCATGCATTGACACGGCGATGACTGCGGCACTTTGAGCGATCCCGATCGGAGGAGCATCTCAGGGTCCGTGATAAGCATCCAGGACCCACTTTTAGAGAAATCCAGGGTCGAAAAGATAGTGCAGGTTTCAGAAGAACGGATATTCTGTTGTGCTCGTTGCATAGTTGAGATCGACAACGAGTCAAGACAGTGATTTAGCTCCGGCTATTACAGACTTCATGGCCAGGCTTGAGTAAATCTCGAGCTACATTCGTTACTATCTCCTCACAACGCCCGCAACCTATTTAGAGATGGTGTAGCTACAGCTTACATTATGCTGGAGTTGGCTGGCTGGAAAAAATACCCGAAGTATTGCCATCCCGTCAGTCTGATGTCAACAGGCGCCAGTTGCGTATAAACAGATCTCGGAACCCCAGATCCTACCAAGCACGATCGAATGACGACCGGTTGACCCTAGATAAAAGTACACACTCAACGCCATGACCACTGTTCATCATCCTTTATCAAGCCTCGGGCCCCTCCACCCGGCTCAAGCACCCGCCATCACCCCCGCAGCCCCCATCGCCGAGCGCATCCGCATCACCGTCCACGATCCGCACGACCATGAAGCCCCCGCCATCCTGCACCGGCCACGCTGTTACAACGCCCGCGAAGTCCGTGGGGCCGCAGTGATTCTCATCAGCGGAGCAGGCGGCGGCGTGAGCGGTCCATCAGGTAATCCCCCTCTCCGTCACCAGTTCCTTCCATGACTGGACTGCGAATAACATCAGGGAAGGGATCTACCCCTCCCTCGCCGACAAACTCACCCTCCACCTTTCCATCCCTGTGATGCGCCTCGGCTACCGCGAGCCCGCCCGGACCCGCTACTGCACCGCCGATGTTCTCGCAGCAATGGACTATCTCACCCAGCAGTATCAATCCACTCGCTTCGTCCTGGTGGGATGGTCCTTCGGCGGCAGTCCGTGCTTCACCGTCGCCGCACGGGAGCCCGAGCGCGTAGTCGGAGTGGCGACGGTCGCATCACAGACGGCCATGACCTCAGGAATATCGAAGCTCAGTCCCCGGCCGCTCTTGCTGCTACACGGGACCGGAGATACCGTGCTTTCGGTCAGGTGTTCGGTGGCGCTGTATGGGCAGTATGGCTCGGAGGGAGGCAGTCGGGAGCTGAAGACCTTTCCTGGGGATGACCATGGATTGAGTCAGAATGCGGAAGAGGCGGAGCGGTGGATACTCATGTTTGCGGGGAGGGCGTTGGGGTATCAGGAAAGGTTGAGGGGAGTCGGTGGTGGAGATGGAGGACTGGGGAAGAGTTGGGCCGGGGGGTGGGAGGAGAGGTTGCATTCGATGCAGGAGGGGAGAGATCTGGAGAACGGGGAGGCTGTAAATTATTAGAGCGTTAGATGAACAGGTAGACAGATTGCTTACAGATGACGTAGGGAAGTGGAAGTACTGACGAAAATGAAGATGTCAATTTTCTACATGGTGAATCACATCGCCTCTCCTACCATCCGGTGAATAGACTACCAGTGAATTTCTCAAACCTCACGTCTATAATTATCCCAGGATATCTTCATATTCCGTCCTCGCCTCAACTCCAACTCTCTCGAACTCATCTTCTTTCATCAGACCCGTCAGCCATCAGATCGCGGTATTCTTTCTCCCTTCTGAATTCTCTGCTTCTCTGCTGATCATACATCATCTGATAGTTGATACTACACATATCCACAACTTCCATCATCTCGCAATGTTCACTCTTGATACTGACGAGGACCCCTCGTGGGTAACCGACCTGGAGGCTGCTCTGCAAGACGATCCAGTGACCGACGACGACGAGAAGAAGAACGGCCCCCAGTCCCCACAAGCCATTCTCCAGCAAGTGATGACAACTAGCCCGGGTACTTCGCTTCCATCGTCTATCTCAGGATATCAACCCAGCGTCGGCCAGCCATATCGTGAAATCGGATCCAGTGCCAACAGCAAAGTATTTGAGCAGCCCGGTACCCCGTGGGCGTTCAAGATCCTCCTTGTCGACGAGGCCCTAACGCTATGGGACAACTACACTTTGCAAATGAGGGTTTACGCCAGTTTTGATGGGGTTGACAAGTTCGTCAAAACGGCTGTCGCAGTCCCTCGGGCAGTCTGGTTTGCAAACAAAACCTCGGAGTTCTGGCGCACAGATTTGGAGCTCTTCCCCGATGATCCTCGATTTCCACGCCAGCCGCGCAATGTTCTCTGTATGGAACGCATCCCTCCTCTCCCTCAGGCGGTTCGTGACGCGCTGGTTGACCTCTTCTGCGACCGCTGGAGCATTTCGGCTGCTAAAAGCGACCCGTCCAATGCCGACTGTCTGGTGCATGTCCTCTTGGGCAGCAAATATGATACTGCAGCGCACCCCGGATCCTACTTGTTCAGTCTTCGCAACTTCAAACTTCACAGTGATCAGATTGAACAACTCCGTCTTGACGCGTCCGCCCTGGCCGCCACAATGGCAGATGCCCTCGCGCTTCTTCACTGGCAGGCGAAGGTTGATGGCATGGGTGTCCAGTTCGTCCTCGGAAGCGCCCGTCCTACAAAAGACCACACATCCATCCCAGGCCACTTGCATCTTCCAGGATTGCACCGTCTATCGCCGGGTACTAGTACCTTCGAGCTGGTAGTCAATCCATCCATGCACATTCCGCGCACCCTCAGCCTGTGGCTATTAGGCTTCGATACTTGCCAACCAATCAGCATGAGCGCCATCGGGGTCGAGCAGGCAATTACCGCTTTCCTCAAAGACCCCCTGTACTTTCCCCGACCCTTCTCGAACAATTGGTTCATCGATAGCCTGTGGACTGTCTTTGCCTGTCGCTATATTGAGACTGCAGAGAGGTTTACTTCGGGGACTCCAGCGCAGTCGCTTCCGCGCTCTTTCATCAGAGGCGTACAGATCAGGCTGTTGCCAAAGTGAAGCAATATGCGGCGGCAATTCCGGGGTTGCGTCTTTGGATCTAAGTCATAACATGGCGAGGCATTTTGCTTTACGACAGTTTCTGGCTCATCATTATGATATCTTGGCAATTTTCTAGGTGGTTAGACGTGTTCACTTTGTCAAGGGGGAGACGTCGTGTATCCTGTATTTCGACTTGCTTGCTTACCATTGTGAAACTGAAAGTGAATCAACACTGGCAATTGTTACTCAGGGTCCACATTTGGACCATTAGGATATTTGCTAGTATGGCGACCAGTGTATACGCTCCCCTTTTGCTAAAGTCAGTAGAGAATGAATTCTCAGTACTATCGAATTGCTGCATATGCTTTATCCGAGGTAATTGACGCATGACTCAACGTATCCGAAGTGTAGATCGGCTTGTTCATCCGGCTGAATGCCCTGGTGCCTGAGGCTTTCCGCGGAGATAGACGGTGCACGGATCACCCCTCCTCTTGGCTGCCGTGTTGGGAATAGTGGCAGATGGCGTAGGGCTGCCCTTACGTAACTGGAAGCTTCAGTCTTTTCTCTTTCAGGTCAACCGGAGGAGAACCTTCTTCGTGTTCGATGGCGATGAAATCCTTCTGCGAGTGACCTGCTCGGATAGACTTGGTATCCTCGGGCATCGGAATACGGAATTTGCGAGTTGAGTAGGGTGCAAGGCGTGTTCTAGAAGAGCATCGATCCGACTCCACATTCGCACTATTTAAATGTCTCGCCTCCCACTTTAATCTTTAACACCAAGCATTCACCTCAAGTCTAAACACCGTTTCCATTACTCAATCGGCATCCACAAGAACCGGTCAAGCTTGCTTGGCATCTTCAACTCTCAATGCATGGTGGAGGCTCCTCATCCCCTGCAAATGCAGATGAATTGATAGCCGGTCAGTCGCCACCCTGTACTATTGCCAACACGCAGTCATCTAACCCAACGCAGGGTTCGCAGAAACAGTCGATGACCTCGTCATTGTCGACTGGGAGGGTCCAGACGACCCAGAAAACCCGTTCAACTGGTCTAAGCTCCACAAATGGCTGGTGACCTTCGTCGCCCTGTTCACCACCTTCCTCGTGCTCGCCAATGGCACCATCATCACCGTCGCCCACTATGAGCTGGACGAGCGTTTCAATGTCAGCGAGGCCTCATTTGCCAACTCCTACTGGCCCGTTACCACCTGGGCTCTGGGGGGTGTCTTCTTCTCGTTGATCATCCTCCCGACGATGGAGGACTTCGGCATCCGCCGCACCTTCCTCCTCACGCATTTTGTTTTCATCCTCTTCCTGGTCCCGCAAGCTGTAGCCCAGAACTTTGCCACTCTGGTCGTCACGCGCTTCTTCGCCGGAGGCTGTGTCGCCGTACTGGGCAACAGCGCCGCGAGCGTGATCGGCAACATCTGGGGCAGCGAGCGCGAACGCACTAAACCGGTCAGCCTGTGGATCGTCGCCTACCTGGGCGGCAGCAGCATCGGGCCCGTGCTGGGGGCGTCCATCCTCCAATTCCTCTCCTGGCGCTGGATCTCCTACATGCAACTTATCTGGCACGGGATCTTGTTCCCCGTGGCCGTCGTAACGATGCGGGAGTCCCGTGACCTGGTGATCCTGAAGCAGCGAGCCAAGCGACTGCGTGCGAAAGGTGTTAACGCCTACACCCGACACGAGATCCTGTCCAAGCCGCTCCTTGAGGTGTTGGCGACCAGCATTCGGCGTCCGCTCAAGATGCTCGTCACAGAGTACGTGGTGTTCTTCTGCATGCTGTGGTCATCGTTCACCGTGGGCACGCTGTACCTCTTCACCCAATCGGTCGAGCAAGTCTTCGATGCTCTGTACGGCTGGGACCCCGTGCAGTCGGGATATGTTCAGGGCGCCATTGTCATCGGCCAAGTCCTGGGATGGCCGTTGACTCTCGTCTCCGCTAGACTCTATTTCCAGTCCGCGAAACGCAACACCCAGATCCCGGGGACACCCATTCCCGAAGCACGCTTATACATGTCCGTCGCTGGAGCCATCCTCGGCCTCACTGGCGGGATGTTTGTCTACGCGTGGACCTCCTACCCCAGTCTCCCATGGATCGCTCCCACCATCGGCCTGGGTATGGTTGGCGCCGGCAGCGTGGTCGTGGTGACGGGGATTATGGATTACGTGGTGGATGCGTACAGCAATTACGCTGGCAGCGCGATGGCGTGTGTCGTGCTGGGGGAGAACACCTTCTCGGCTTTTCTGCCTTTGGCGACGATGAACATGTATGAGACCATGGGGTTACAGTGGGCGAGTAGCTTGTTAGGGTTTATCAGTCTGTTGCTGACGCTGGCGCCGGTGTGCATTATGATCTGGGGGGAGAAGATCCGCGAGCGCAGTCCGTTTATGAAGGAGGCGACGGTGCGGAAGGTGGCGGAATTGCATGAGGCAGAGGAAGGGGAGGATAAATGTTGATTGTCATGAGGCATGATTAGATGAGACTAGACTTTTAGCAATGATTAATGCATCTCTCAAATCACACAAGGGACAACACTACATCTTTACTTTCTTGGTGCCTCAGTGGCGGTTTATCCTCGAATACGTTATTGGATTTTTATGACATGCAATTCTCCGCAAGACGATTTATTAAACTGATAAGTCGATATGATTAACCTACATAAGCAACCCCCGTAATGGCCCCCCCAATATCAGGCAAGACCGTTGATTTACAGGACCCATCCAGATTGGCACAATATAACGACCCTCCCAAGTCACCGAAGAACATCCGCTGGTTCTCCACATCCAATGCGATCCCAATGCCCTCATGAAGCTTGCGCACCAAGATCTTTGGCTGTACTTTCTCTCTCGAACCAGCAAGATCAGCCAGCACGGTCGCATTAACCGTATTCCCCCGAGGCGGATCCCCTCGATCCGTCCAGTACAGCGTCCCTGTCGCATGATCCAGCTCCAGGTCAATCGGCTCCGGAAGTGCCTCTAGCAGACTTTCCACATCTGTCCTGCGCTCCACTGACTCCCCCTGTTTCCTCTCAATCCCCATCCGGAAGATCCGGCCCTGGTTCCCCTTGGATGGGCCCTTCTGCGTCCAGTACACCCATCCGGCCTCCTCATCCACCGCAATACCTACACACCAGTCATATACAGCAGGCGTATCCGTGCCCTCGCTGGAGACCGCACGATAGAGCACTTCGATGTCGCTCCCATCGAGGTTCGCCCGCATCACCCGCCTGCCCTCGCGATCGGCCCAATACAGCTTCTGGGCCCGCGGGGCGATGGTCAGCTGTTTTGGCGTGTGGGTGTGGCCCTTTGGAACGACGGTCACGATATTATGCCCCGAGAGGTCGCAGCGCTGAATGGATCCGTCATCGGCGGAGGGGACGCCCATGTTCGTCCAATAGATGTGATGCCGGGCAGCGTCGATGGCGATCCCATCCGGCATGGTGTTGATCTGCGTGATGAGCTCCTGAAGATCGGAGCCATCTGGTTTGCAGGTTAGGATGCGGCCATTGAGTTCTGAGGTCGAGATGCCCACGTCGAGGAAGCAGAGTCGGGGTCTGGATGATCTGGGGAGGGGGGGTCTTGGTGCCATTTTTATATATTGCGGGAGGGTGGATGTAGAGTTGAGAATCGACACACATTGGGACAGTTCTGCGCCGGGCTTCACGACGGGTAGATATACTACTGTGCAGAGATAGAGAAGGTCCACTGGGCCACGGTATGCTGAGAGTTCCTTGTTCCACCTTGTCCACGGTTCCTTGATTTGCCTGATTATGGTACATGAGTATGCTATACTCGGAATGCCAAAAAGGGAACGGAACGGATCATGACATAATCACACGGGATGCTCCGGCCAACTCCGAGCTACGCGAGCAAATCTCGGGATGGACGTTCTTTCCTACCTTTTTCAACCTCTTCCGTGAATCATGGATAATTCCTCAAAATGATGTTCTCATTCCACACACGCCGGCCGTCTCCACACGACGAGCCGTCCAGAGGTCCCAGACCCAAACGAGCCAAGATCAGAAATGCCTGTGAGGTCTGCAAGATCCGGAAGACGAAATGTGACGGTGCTAAACCAGGTAAAGAAACATTCCAGATACTCACTCTGGTCGCACAGTGGAGAAGATCAGTCAGCTCACCGCATCCCTGCATTAATCCCTGCATTAGTCTGTGGACCCTGCTCCAACCGGAAACGCCTTTCGCGTGCCACTCGAATGGCCTGCAGCTATCGGGAGTCTGATTCCGCGGAGCATTCAGGATATACCACCGAGCAGTCCCCCCGCGGTCATCCACAGCCCGACCATGCCGACCGGGCGAGCTCGTTCAGTACAATCGTTCCCAGCGGGAGTCTCTTTGGTGCCTCCAGTGGGGTGCACATCATCCCCGATGTGGGGAATCAGACCAGTATAGCCACTCCAGGCAACAAAACACCAAGCAGAAGTCAAGCTTTCCCGAATGCACTCAGGCATCTACCCAAGCTGCAGCAGAAATCCCCTCGAAACGAACGTTCTGGTTCTGATTTCCAGTTCGTCATCCCTCCCAGGAGGCAGGCGGACAACCTACTGGGTCTCTACTGGGACTATGTCGACAGTGCCTACCCGTGGTTGGATAGAACATCCATCGAAAGTGCTTATGAGACTCTATGGATCCAAGATGGAGAACTGACGATGAATGAGACGGTTTTGCATTGTCTGCTGAATCTCATGTTCGCCACCTCCTGTGTAGCCACCCAGGGTGAACCACCACTCGTTCGCTATGAATCTTCCGTCGTCTTCTTTGAGCGCGCCCAGGCGTTAATGTCGTACCAACTACTCGACCTCTATAATTTTGAGATCATCCAGATTTTACTCCTCACCGCCGTCTATCTGCAGCACGACAAAGAGCCCCAGAAATGTTTCCGCATCATCGGGACGGCGATTCATATCGCCCAGGAACTGGGGCTGCACATCCCGGAAACCACTGAGGCTATGGACAATCCCAAGGAGCGAGACCTTGCGCGTCAGGTGTGGAATGGGTGTGTCATCATGGACAGGTATGATAAACCACCTTGACACGGGACTTTGTAGCTGAACGCGTCCTAGAATCTGTTCCATGACCTTTGGCTGCGCCCTCAAGGTCCCTCAATCAGTGGCAAAAGAAGGCTTGAATCTGCTGGTGTCCAACGCCGTAGAGCACTCGTCGGACAGCGTGACCGCCACCCTACCATCGAAAGTCAACTTCTATCGATCATTCTGTCGACTTCATCACATCATCGGAGATGTCATTGACACCTTCTACAAATTCGGCGAGAGCAAAACGGATCGCCATGCGAGCAAGCTTCGTCTGGAGACGCCGAGCGACTCATCCTCACTCGTGTTTGACAAATTCGCTAGCTTGTTTCGAATCGACTCCGCACTGAATGATTGGGCCCGCAGCCTGCATCCTTTCTTCCAGATGCCATCGGAACTCCAAGACCCGACGCCCACGAAACATATTACGCGTGAAGCGAATATATTACGTGCACGGTATATGCTGGCCATATTCAATGCAAGGGACAAATGAATAGCACTGACTCTCTTGCATTCCAATGTACTAGGTATCTCTCCATTCGACTGCTCCTGTTCAGGCTTCTACTTCTGCAAATCCACCAAGGAAGGACCGAGAATGCCCGAGGGATCGGTCTATATGCCGACGATGATCAGATCATGCCGCATGTAGTCCTCCAGTGTCAGATTAATTGCACCAAAGCCGCTGCCGACATGATCGAATTCATTATCCGCAACTCACCGGAGCAGAAACAAGCGTACATCTTGCCATCCAACTGGTACACTGTTTCATGTGAGTTGCAGATTCCCGAAGAAAGCCCAGCGTTGAGCAACCTAACAGAAAGCTCAGATGTATACATGGCCGTCACGAATTTGCTCGCTGCCCAGACCTCGCCACAAATAGCACAATACTTCACGGCCGCTCGTCTGCAAGGCCTCTTGCACGAGGCTCGACGCATTCTCAAGGATTATGAAAAGCATGCCACCTTGACTTCGCGATGCAACTCAGTCCTTGCCTTGATTGAGCAGAATGTTGGTGGGCGCGAGCCGATAGTCGACTACACCCCTTCGGAGGCGGTGCAGGCTAGCAGCAACCCTCTCAACACATCCGCCCCAGATCTAGTCATCGACACACAAGTGCCTCCAGCTAATCTCTCGAGTAACCTAGCCATGATGGACAACTACTCGTTCGACTGGAACGAATGGCCCATGTTCTTTTCTCAACTGGATGATGATACACCTACAGCCCAGGGCTGGGCAATATAGGGTCACAATCTCATTAAGTCACGAACATCTAAGGTCACTAATTATCCAACACAAGTCTACGCTTTTTACTGGTCTTCTCACGCATTCAAAAAGGGTTCGTTATCTAGGAAGAAAATCTATATACAAAAAGAATGTCACAACATCTTCAGGCGAATTAATCATTTGCCACTCTTCTGGTCACAAACCGTCTGGCGCCCGCGATCACATGCTGCACAGCGAAAGGGCCTCAAAGCCACTGAATGTTCCGATCGTGGTAGCAGTGAGGGACTGCAGGTGTCAACCACCGAGGCGTCACCTTGGGGTCACTCAACTGGACGACAGGCTTCAAAGTCTCCATGCGGCCCCATGGACCCCCCTCAAAGCTGGTAAGAAGTGATTCTGGGCCCGGGCTGAAGTACTGGGGGAATACATTCTTCCAGCCGTCCATCACGACAAGCAGAATCTCCGTCACGAACTGCGAGGGCCCGATGTGGCCCCACTTGAACAGCTGGTTGCTGCGCTCTACCACCTCAGGAGAGTATAGCCCGACCTCCGGCTCCAGGTTGATGACGTCTGCCTTGACCAACGAGCTCGTCACCCGGTAGGAGCCGCCGTGACGGGCCCGGTCCCGTAGCGCCATGAGGGCACCCAACGCACCCACCAACCCAGTGGTCATGTCGGAGATGGGCAGCGGGGGGAGGACGCTGGTTCCATCCTTGAAACCCAGAGAGCGACCCATGACGTACGACGAGCCGGAAGCCGCGTCTCCGATCTGCTGCCAGCCCGGTCTCTCGTTGTATGGGCCGTCGGGACCGTAGCAGTTCTCCTCGACGTAGACGATCCCCTTGCCGCGCTTACCGGCCATCTCGAGGAGGTCGTTGACTCCAAAGCCCTTCCTCTCGATCACCTTGGGGCGGAAGCCTTGCACGAAGACATCAGCGTCCTCGATCAGCTCGCGCAGGCGAGCCTTGTCTTCCTCCTTGGTGAGGTCAAGGTCGATGGTGCGTTTGCCCGTGTTCAACGTAAATTGCAGGACCTAAGGAGGTTTCATTAGCGCACCGCCAGTGTCAACATAGAGGGAAGGGGTGGCTTACATTAAGATCGACCAAGCGACTGCAGTTGACACGAATGACATCCGCCCCAAGCGAAGCGAGGATGTTCCCAATGACCGGACCGGCAATAATGCGGACCAGCTCCACGACCTTGACACCCGCCAGCGGCCGCTTATCGTTGGCGACCTTGGTGAACGGAATGGCAGGAGTGGGGATGGCATGCGACTGGCGCGAGTAGCCGACCAGTGGATGCTCTGCGAGGCGCTTGCCCATCATCGTGTCGGCCCAGCCCTGCGGCGTGAAGCAGATACTGCCGCAGAACCCGTTCTTGATGTTGAGCATCTCCAGCTCGTCAGCCGTCCACTGCTCGACGTGCCGGCTGATGTACTCGTACGCCTCGTCCGGGGTTTTGGCCGGGTACTCGGGGTCCATGCCCAGGGCCTTCAGAACGGGCTCCGCGTTGAGGGAGCCGTGGACCTGATACCACACACCGGGCGTCTTGGTCTTGTAAAGCGCCGTCGATCGTTGGCGCAGCGGAGTGGCCTGCCACCCGTGCTCGAAATCCCGATCGTATAGAGTCGCCAGCTTGCGCGACCGGACCAGGTCGATCATGTCTTCTCCCTCGATGGTGGCGGCGAAGATGGTTCCCAGCCAGATGGCGGCGTGGTTGGTGTTCACCGTGACCTGCTGCGTGCTGGCCGGGGTGCCATCGCGGTCCTCGACGATTTCGTGGGCGACAACACCACACATAGCATGCAGGGCTGCGGCCACGAGAGGGGCTTTGGTGGGCCCGGGAATGACCGGGAGCTTACTGCCCGTGAAGTTGACGGTCTTCCAGAGCTTCTGATCCTGGGTGAACCCCGGCGTGCTCTTGGCGATGTACTCGAAGATGCGACCGGCATCTTGGGGCGCGGGGAGGAAGTCCTTATCCACAAAGGTCCCCGGGCCGTAGATGTCTGTGCTGGGTATCGTTTGGTGGGCGTCAGTCATGGTGAAGTGTGGCGAGCGTGCTAAGTGTCAAGGAAAGGCAAGATGAAATCTCAATGGGATTGGAGGCGTGCTGTCGATATCTTAAGGACAGGTATAGCAACTATTATACCTTACCTCGACAGGGGAGCCCCATTCAACCGTTAAGGGCCGTGGCCCGCGGGGCGCATTATCAAGAGATCCTTGATTCTGTTCCGCGTTTCCAGAATAGGAGATTCAAAAGCCCGGAAGCCCGGAAGTCGGCAGCCCGACCTCACGGAACGCAGTTAATAACACCCTAAATGGCAGGTTGCGCCCCAATGCACCGTTACGGACCG